CTGGATATGTTTTCTGTTTGAAAATGCTGCAATAAGGATGCAGCCCTACAGTTAATCGGGAGATTATTGTTCTCCCATCTCCTTGATGGCCAAGTTATTTCAGGTACGTTTTGCCATCCGGTAGTCACAGAACCTATAAAAAGTGACTATTTTTTCCCTCACTCCTTTGTAAATGACCAAGAGCACAGTGAGTGAGTAGAGTCGCCGCTCAGAACTCATGTCAGTAAAGATTGTGCATTCCATGCAATTTATATATAAGTGGCATAAAAGACCGAATGGATCCTGTTGTTACGTTCCTCTGGATGTCAGTGAGTAAAATTCTGCTTCACTTTTATGAGGATATTTTATGAACATCCTGTTATTTCTTCTGTCCACAGAGTCTGGTCTAAGCAAAGTAGTTAGTGACTTAAGGACAGACTTTTTCTTGCGCGTTCCTGCAGTAACTGAGCACACCAAGGTCTGTCCATGTGATTCACTCGGGCTCACCAATGCTGCCATCATAAAAATCACACTGCCCTCTGACAGAAGCAGTAGCTGTACTCGGCCACCGCAACACGGCACGCTTGGACGCGCTCTGTAATTGCTGGTTATCACTTTGCTGCCATAAATCTATAATTGGACTGCCGCACGTGTCAGTGGATGATACTATTATACTAAATATTACTACAATAGAATAGAGACAAATCTAGGAACCCGTGACCATCTCCACAGGCAGTGATGAGCAACAATGCTCAATTGCAGAGAACCAACGAGCAGTAACCGCTAAGGCCAACAAGCGCAGCAATAGAGCTTTCCACCGCAGCAATCCCAGACTCCCTCTGGCTAGAGCACATGGTGCCAGTGACAACGTGTCGGACTCAGTGAAAGAAATCAGTTTTAAATACAGCTGTCTTTACTTTAAATACACCTTATCTTTAACCCACAGACTCTTTTTTGTTTTTGTTTTTGTTTTCCCTCATGTAAGTCAACACAACAGGACTGTGAACCTGTGCTGACACCTGCCAACAGAAAGCCCGGCTCATAGGTCTGAGATAGTAAGATCAGATACATCTTATGAGGTCTAGCATTTCCGTAAGGCATATCTCAGAAAGCCTTCATTTCTGAGATGCTCTTTCACTGGTGTGGATTTCTGCATGAGATAACTACTTAATAGTAGTACTCTTCACTTTAAAAGACTCCAGAGTTAATTCAGCTAGTTACTATCTTCAAGTAAAGAAACTTTGAAGTAAAGAAACTTTGAAAAAAATTATATACCAAAATTAAACGCTCACATACTGAATGCTTCCATCCATTACTTTCCAGGGTAAAAGTACGCCTTGTACCAGCCAAGCACAGTATATTTTCTTGAAACACAGCAGGAAGAATTTGCTTAAGTACTGATTAAAATAATGCTCAACACTTGATATTATTTATAAAGTACATAGATGGAAGCATTTACTAGTGACATTTTTGCCATGTACCAAATATGTCTGTCATCTAGAAGCTAACAGGGTGGTTTAAAAATGCATCACACCTCTAGCAGCTCACATATTACTTCCGACTGAAAAATTATTGCTACAGTCACTGGAGCAAAACATTGCATCCATTCCAAACCATACACTAGAATTTCAATTTCTCATCTTTTTTTAGATTGGTTGGCAAATCTCACTCTTGAAATTGGAACCTCTTGAAGACAATGAGAAGATCCATCTGCTGCAACGGTAATTTTTCTGCCTTCTCCCAGAAAACACTGGTCTCCAAAACTGGTTTGGTTGCAGTAACCTGTCATCTCCAGAAACAATTTACATAGCTGAGGTCAGTGAAGATACGTTACACCTGTGGCCCTCAAACTACTGCCTCCTGAAACCTGGAGGCTCCTGAGGGTCTGACTTTTCCGTCTAGCTTCCAGCTAGGTCTGTTTCATTTTGTTTTGACAAATACATTTGTCAGAGCAGCTGCAGGCAAGAAGACAACTCAGCTGCATGAGTACAGCTGTTGTAGCACAGAAACATTTCGCTGCCCTGAGAGGCTGGGAGGCTCATGGGGCTGGGCTCTGGTGAGGCAAACTCTTGGCAGAAAAGCCTTCTCTGCCAGGGCGCTGCGTTAGGACAAACTGCATAATTCAGTGTTCCTGCAAGGTTTGCCCACAGGAAAGAAGGGGTGTTTGATTGAGCCAACAAAGACCAAACTGGACAGAACACTTAGGAACGTAACAGGAGACCATCCGTTTGTCAGAAGGAGACACGCAGTGAATCTCCTTATCTATGCTAATGGCAACGACCTTCTGTATGCCTTCTGAATCAAGGCAGCCCAAGCCTCTTCTGTATGTATAGCTTAGCTCATCTGAAGCTGTCACCAATGTCATCAGTTTTGCAAGACTGAAAATTACAGACTCAAGGTCCCAGGTTCACCATAACGTACATAGCCCGGAGCTAGCACTGCTGAAAGATTTAGTGGCATTCCAAGAGCCAGTATTTCTGTACGCCAATGCTAAAAATAAATGTCTTACATTACGGATGTCTTAAATGTCTTAAATGACCGATGGAGAATATCAGACTTCTGAATTCTCTTCGACTCCTGGAAGATGGTAAGATGTTTTAATATTCAACAGTGATATGACAGTAGTATTTAGAGGGCCCCAATTAGAATAGAAATTCCATTATAATAAACATTGTGAGGGTGATATCTGAGATACTGGACCTCAAAACTCCCGGCAACATGCTGCTTAGTTTTAAGACCTCCAGTAACAATATAATTTCAAGAATCTTAGTCTCAAAAACATCTAAGAATCCATTTTTTTTCACCGTAGGAAAACTTGATATGAATAAGCCACCAATCCTAACTATAAAAGTTGACTAGATACTAAGTGACCCCACACCAGGCTCAGAGAGCAGGTAATTGTTTCTCAGAGATCTGACTTGAGCCTGACAGTCTGCCGTGATTAGAAAGCCTTTAGTGGGCCAGTATAGATAGCATCTAACACTAAGATACACTCAAAACATTTCTTTTAGATCAAAAAGACTTCTCCTTCTGAGTGCTCAATTTTTTTCTTCTCCTCCTTTTTTTTTTAATTGGATGTTGTTTGATGGCTACACTAGCCGTCTCATAGCGAGCATTTTACCAGGCACTATTAATCAGAATTTAAACTAAGACACTAAAATTATTACAGAAATAAACCAGTGAACTAAAAATCATGTTCGTGTTTGTTCCTTGGTATTTTAGACAGCTTAATAGAAACTATCTCATACCAAGGAAAAGGAAGCTCAAATTGTTTTGCTTTATTACTGAACATAAAGGAAGTCCTTCTCCCTCAGTTCCTATTTCTGGTTTGTGCTACGTATCAGAAGTCTGCCAAAAAAAAAGTTAATGCTCTGGGGTCAGGCCAGAAGAGGGAAGAGCAAGAAAGTTAGTGGCAGATGAAGCTTAAGAACAACAAGAGGCAATGACATCAGAAAACCGGAATTGCCTTCAGCAGCCTTGCCCTTAATAGTATGCAATCGATTCTGCCTTCATGTGATTGCACATCTCAAGGGCCAAATCGGCACTTTTAGAAATAAAGTTCCCAAGGGCCAGGAGGTGCGATGTGACCACCTCAGCCCGCATTAGAGCAGGTCGTCTCGCGCAGGAGGTCAGGAGTGCGGTGCTCTCCCGAGCGGTGCAGGGCTGCCCACAGCTGGGAAGGCCCCGCCAAGTGCTTCCACACTGCTTTATCAAACGCCTGCGGAGACAGCTTGTGCCTCCCACGCTTCCGCTATGGGTGCGGAGATGGTGAACAGGAAGCAAATCACCCCCAGATAATGTACCTAATAACGCAGATCTTAGCCACGTTTTATCTCCTCCCCTCCACCAAGGAGCATTTCAAAAAAGATGAAACCCACAGATCTCCATCAAAAACACTGGGGTGGAGAATTTAAGAGACCCAGAACGAACAGAAAAACTTTAGAGATGAATGTGTGAAAACCCTTAGGCCAATATGTAGAGATGCTGGGCATGCTGCTGAGCACATGTGAGCACTACCACCATTTTCTTTGGGACTTCCAACTACGCAATCACGGAGCTATGTGAAGTGAGATAGCTGCATTTTTCGGTCTTATTAAATGAGTCCTGATGATGCAACATGCTGAACATAACCTATTCATCTCTCCAGGAGAGACACTCAGTTCTGATTGCCAGCAGCCAGGCACTGTTCAGATTTTTCTAGAAACTGACTTTTACAAGACAGATCAGTTCAGGCCACGTCCTTTTTTCCTTTCCACTCATGCTATGGCACAGGGCGTAAGTGAAGTATGTGAGAGCCACTTTGCTGACTGCACCCCTGAAGGATTCCCCAACACAGAGGGGAATGAGAAAACCCGTAAGACATTTTCCTGCAACCCATGCAGATATTCTGGTTTTCCTTCAGCATGAGAAGACTTAACTGCAGATGGAGTGAATGTAATCAGCGCTTTACTGTATGTTTTTCATCTGAAAAAGGGAACAAGTGCCTGTGAAACCTCTTCCTTCTTGATCCCCAAGGTGTCTTGGCCTAGGGAAACCAATCAAACACAAACCATAAAAAACGCACTTGAGACTCTGGATGTTTCTTCTCCATACCCAAACACTAATGTATCAAAATGAACCGAAAAAATGCTAGATAGTGGCTTAAAATATTAGGTGTTTGCGTTCAGGAAACTACACTTCAGTGTTGAGCTTGATATTCCAACTTAACAGGTATGATAGTCGGGTCTATTTCAACTGGTTCCTCTTTGTTTCGAGGTCTGACAAAAAGGTTGAAGTATGGAATAAATTGCTAGTATCAATTTATATGGGCTGGATTTTCAGCTGCAGCAGAGGCAGCTGCATGCTATGCTAGTTTACCTCTGCTGAAAATCTTACATGTCTTCCATCAGAAAGTAACTAACCAAGGAAGTTGAGTGGAAATCTAGAGTATATTTCAAAAACTACTGCATTAGGATTTGATTTTTTACAGTCTCTGTGCCAAGAACCGTCCACAAAAAGAACTTCACACTGAATAGATGGTAGGCGTTGTATCTTACAGGTTTTATTTTTGAAAACAAAACAAAACAGAACTTTGCAGCAAATATAGAAATGTATCTCATATTTTGTTACAAAGTGCTAGTGTCCTACTGAGGAACTGACAGTCCTATGGGCTATAACTCGGTTATGGAACGCGCAAACAAACTTTGCATCTCACTTAAAGTTTTCACACTGTAAAAAAAAAAAAAAAGTCTGTTTGAAAAAGGGATTAGCTGCATGTTTAAAAAAAAAAAAAAGCAATGAATAACAGAAGAACTCAATAACTGGAATCAATGGGAAAATGTTGGAATGCCTGGCAGAAGTTCGGTGCTTTGGGAGGACGACACCTTTCCGCCCTATGTCCTGAAAGAAGCAACGTGAGTGAGGGCTAGGTAACCAAAAAGATCTAGATGCGCTGGGAGTTAGCTGAATATGCAGCTGTTTTGCTGGAAGAACAAAATGAGAGCAGACAAAAAAAAGATGGGAGTTTGAGTAATGAAGATGACTATGTTTTAAGGTGATTTGGTAATCACAGAAATGGAATAGTGCCTTCAATGCCCCTGACTGGGCATATTATACTGAGAGAAAATATATTTTGTAAAAAGATTTCTTTCTAGCTTTTTTTACTCAGTAAATCAGAGTTTCCTCTCCCTTCCCCAAGTCTGACTTTACATGGCCTTTAATGCTGAAGCCATTCCATTTCTAGCCTTCTTTGCAGAGAAACTACTGCACATCTAGCCAAGGCAGTGCAAGATCGCGTACGTTTCTTCTTCCCTGAGTAAAGGGCGTATCGTTTAAAAAAAAACAAAAACCCCCAAATCTAAAGGCTTCCTTCCCTTGTGCTACTTTTGACTCAGAGACAGCAGCTCTGCTCCCATGTGCACAACAAATTTCTACTGGTTTCATGAAGTCTGCGCCCAAGTCTTCTGTGATCAGAAAAATACAAGGCAATCAAGGGAAGTTTCATGCATCCAAGGACAGTAAAAGACAAGATCCCAACAGCCTAATTTTCAAGCCTCAGTTAGAGGGTAAAATACAGGGGCTGAACAGGGTCCTAGCTTAAACGAGGTTCCAAAACAGTGGGAATCTTTAAGTGTAAATACTGATGGTGCTTGCTGCTTATTTCTAAAAGAGAATCCATTTCTAAATAAATCCTTTTAGCTTCCGAAGAATGAAAATGTAGCAAGAGCTTCATTATGCAAGATGATTTCAGTTATACTCATGTGGGCTGTAAATGAGCTTTCCAATTGCGCAAAGAAGATAAAATCCAGAACCATGAAGTGGAAAACTCCTTGTGCCTTTCCAGGGGAGCTCAGGAGAAAAGGCAAGTTTTTCCTCCTTCAGCCTCACTACATGACTCCTGGCTTTCTCTGTCCCACAGTTTCTAGCTTCAATGAATTCTGTGGCACTTGCATGTATCTGAGGACTTTTCCAACACTTTCAACAGTACTGAACCAGGCTCAGGAGTTTTTAAGAATAAAATGGAAGCTCTCATTTTAGACATGTCTAAGCAAGAACAAATGGACATATGTTTGTTGCAAAATATGTAGTATTTTTATATCCATCATCTAGCGGTTGAGTGGATGATTTGACAGGAAAGTACAGCTCACAGTTCTGAGGATCCATCTCTTTTTTTGGCATCTTCCATTTTCAGGTAGAAATAAGCTTGTTTTTTTAAGTAAAAAAAAAGCCAACAATTTCATACTCTAGCTAAAAACAAATTCTGCAAATACTATTAACTCAGCGGTATGTTCAACAATCATTCGATGGTAAAGCAGGTGAAGTATCAAAAAAGCTCCATTTTAATAGTATTTATTTGCAATCATTAGTTTTAAATGGGAAACTATTTACAAGCACACACTAGATAACCAAAATAGATTGAACATAAAAGAAATCTGTTTGAAGGTCCTTTTCAAATATTTCAAATATTTTATTAAATATTTTATTCAGTTTCATGATCACAGTTTAATGTACTTTAGCATGTTATACACATGACTTAACATGTGCACTTAAAAATATCAAATTAGATAGAGAATTTTGAAGGAAAAAAAATGACATTTTATAAATGTGCTTATTGACCTTAACTACACACACCTAAGAAGGCAGTAGCTCTGTTATACCATTGATGGAGATAAACTGTTGTAAGGCATGTTTACACCAAGCTTTAAACAGAATAAAGCCAAATACTGGGTCAAAATTGAGTGGAATTATGTGCAAGAAATAAAGTTGAAGGATTGGGCCCTAGGAAAAGAGATTATAGCAAATCATTTATGTTAAAAATTGCCAACGGAGACTGGTTATTCAAAGAGAGTACTGCTGAGAAAGGTTTTCCTAGCATCTAAGTCAGCAGGATTTGTATTTTGTTTAGCCATTTTTGAAAAACACGTGTTATGGTGTGCTGTGAAGGGAAGAAAATGAAATCTACCAAGAAAGTTTGAAAACTATGGTCTGAGGAACCTCATGTTTTATGACTGAACATGGGAACACTTATGTACAGAGAACGCTGCAAATCACAGCACTCTGGGGTGTGTGTTTATGCATATGTATACATACATGTACACACACAGATACATACATCTCTCTCTTGCTTTTGTCATCTTTAAAGCCCCAACCACTGACCGAAGTATAGCAGTGTGTGGGGGGAAATTGCGTTTCGTTTGTACAGGTCAGAAGAGTAGATGAGACCATTGCATTTGGAAGCCTGGTTACTTTGCCTGCGCACTATGACAGCAAATGCGTGATTTCTAGTGGAGTACAGTGCGGGTCTGCTGGTATTTGGTAACAGTCAAGACCCAGAAACTAGAAGATAACTCTTTGGAAGAACGCAGCAAATGTTAAGCTATATGCATTTGTTTTGAAAATGCTAGGTGAATGAAGGCCCTAGTTCAAAATGATATACCTCCGTTAGGAACGTCATGCAAGCCCAAGCTTAACTCTAAGAGCATAGTGGTCCATCATCAGGGCTCCTGCACTGTCCTAACGCAAACAGCAATGTTACCCTTAAATAAGGATCGTCTTAGGCATAAGCTCAGGTGTGTTGCTGAGTTGAGACCTGAAGTCGGTTCTTCCTAGATTTCTGCCTTAAAAGAATGAGTTGGGGAACATAAAATATACATCCATCTTATAAACTTCTTCAAAGTTCTCAATTCAGTAGGAGATACTGAATATAGACATGACTATAATAGTACAATAGTATTTAGGTGAGAGTATAAACCTCACTGTGCCTTTTTATTGGGAGATTCAGGGGAGGAGGCAAATAACGCTTTCACAGCCTAAAAACATTCGTTCGCGGCTCTCGGTGTCCTGAAAATGACTCAACATTCTGGCAGCTTTAGGTGACAGTCCCACAAGATGTACAAGGTAGTGAAATGCCACAAATAGTACAAACATGGCAAAGAGACCTAGGAACTCTACAATCTAGCAAACGAGCATGGCAAACAAACAGCATCTAATGGTGACTGCATGGTATACAGCACACGAGCTGCACAATTATGTTTCCTTCGGAAATCAGGACTGCAAACGTCAACGTCAGGGTAAGTTTCAAGAGCAGCATTTGGATTACTGCATTAGTACAGGGAACATCTGACATCCACCCCCTGATGAGCACCACATTTTCTGCTGTTAGAAAAAACAATCTCACTGAACCAACTAGAGCTAGTGGGTCCATGTCCTGCAGCCCATATGACTACGGCAGAGGTTAAACAAAAACGCTCCAGCAACACAGTTTGGCTACCACTGTACATTCAGCATTATGCTGCCTGCTAAATGTTGCTCTTGGAAAGTATATAGTGATATACAAATGGTATCAATGGCTGAAAGGATTACACGATGAAGCCTGAAAGCAAATAGAAGTTCACTAAAGTAGTCTTTTAGGAGAGGTAGCCATATTAGACTCAGCATTCAAAAAAAGGGAGTGCACTCAAAAGATCAACACACATTATACTCTCATGTAGACCCATCATGTTTTTATCTTTCCTACATTTTTCTTTTGCAGAACGTACACACATGCACGCGCACACACACACACACACATATATATACATATATATATATACACACACACACATATATATATATATATATATATAATCTTTTTTCCTAGCTCCCCTTTGTTGCTGCAACTTCACCATACTGAGAAACGAGGCCAGCTTTCCTTTCTTTTATCCTCTGTTAGCTGTCCCACGTCTACAACTGCTGCCTTCAGTCTGTTCCAGTATCTGTACAGTAGCTAAACAGGCAGTAAAAATTAAAACTGCTTCAACTGAATATCCCGCTCCAAAAGATGGCATCCAAGCTATACCGTATTCCCTCGTTCTGATGTGAGTTACAACTCTCTTGGGTTTCTACTTGATACAAAATAGACTGCAGAGTACTCTTCAGCCTTGTGCTACAAAGGTAGCATCCACCCAAATAAAAAAGACCAAAGATGGAAGTTAAACACCAGTTCATATGCTTCTATCAATCCCTTGTTCCTGTGCCCCTTTCCAACAACAATGCTTATCGTTTTAATTTCAAAAGTCATGCATCAATGCTATAAAACATAAATCAAAACTGACAAGTCTTTTGCTCATGACTTTGGGATATTGTATTAGTATAAAAGAGCATTCAGTCATCTTAAATAAATATACTCTATTTCTGAAATCACAGCACATTCAAGGGGTAATTACTGCCATAATCAGAGCAGTAAGTAATCTCCATAGATGTTTTTGATTGATTTGGTCTAATATCTGGAAAATAACCTACTGCGGGGATAAGAATCTGCATCTCAAATGTTTTGCAGAACATATTTCCCATATTTGTATACAGTACTAGAACAATTACGAAGACATTACAGTAATTTTCTCCCAGCTGCTTAGGTCTGTAGCTTCAGCTACGATAATATACTTTGCATACCTCAAAATTATATATGAAATATCAAAGATCACCAAATAAATAAAAGCTAAGGAAAACTGGGACAGTACTGCATTTTACACTTGAGACAAGATTCCCCACTCCCGTGGATAAGTCATAGAGGACTACGATAATTGCTTTTTTTTTCTTTTTTTTTTTAAAGAAAGATTTATACACAGGTTCAGATCCAGAAAATAATGTGAAATGCATAAATATTGATAGCTTTAGCTAAGTTAAAATGGGTTCAGTAAAGTATGATACAACATATTCAGAATAAACAAAGCAGAAAAGCATCATATTTTGGTTTGCTTGAGATATACATAAGGTGCAATAATTTCTTCTCTAGAGGCATTTGTGGACATGTGTTAATGGGTAACAGTGTTTGCTGGTATACTGAAGTACACACAATAGCAATATGATTTTCCAAAATGAAAGCAGCTGAAATGAATAAAAATTAAAACAAAACAAACACGGAAATAAACCCAACCCCAATACAGTAAAATATTGGTCTGAAATTTTTGTTGTGCTAACAGACTTTGTTACCTGAAAATACTGATACCCCTTCTAGTAGATTCAGGGAAAATTCTAGCTACTGAAATCAAGACATCACTCAGAGAACCAATAAAGGCAAATGCCTAGTGAACTATAAAGCTTTGCAGGATTTCTGCTACTCTCAGTGCCTAATCGCTTAAAAATTAAGCATATCTACAAAAAGGTTTATAAGTATCTGAAAACAGTCATATCCAGTAAACTGACCCAACCCTACCCCCTCTCTAAGGGAAAGTCAAGGAAAAGCAGATCAAGTAAGATATTAATTCATATAGAAAAAAGTAATTTTCTGTTTCTTTTAAAAAAGGTACCATTAATATACAGAAATATCTTCAGGAACAATATTGAAATTTAAATTGAGGAAGGATGGGGTGCTTTGACAAAAATATATCTACTCTAAAGGTTTCTAGAGAAATAAGTTAGTACCATTGTCAAGGTGAACGGCCTGCACTGTAACATATTTGGATTTCAGCTAATTATAAAGTGGTCCAAAACTCCAACAGCCACCTACAGCTTTAAGTCTTAAGTTTTTCCTGTCTTGTTAAAATAACTTATAAAACATTAATAAAATCTTATTAAAAATACTGCCATAGGCTGCAATGGCATTCTAGGGGGCTCTTAGTCGTGTATTTTCCTGAATTTTTAAGAAGCCTTTTCACTGACTCATTGGCTCTTAAATTTTGTTGTTCTTTTGTTGCTGCTGTTGTTCCCTTCTTCCAACATATGCATCTTTGATAGTGCTGTTTTAATGATACTTCCCAAGCTACCTGCCTTTTGTCAAACCTTCAGCCGTTGTTACAACTTGTGTGGTATGTTGCGTATCATTTCCCAACGAGGAACCAAAGACTTTCACTTAACTACAACAATGAAAGGCTAAACCTAGCAAGCATTAATAGAGTTACTGTCCATATGGCTATTACATCAAATTAGTTACAAAATAACCCCAAAACACATTATCAATTCAGTCAAGTATAAATAAGAATGCCTGATAGAACGATGTAAACTCTCATCATTTAAAGACTTAATTCAAAGAACTTCAAACTCAACCTAATACTATCAAAAGTTCAGCCAGTATGACGAAGACTAATAGAAAATTATTGCTGGAGTCCAATTTGGTAAATTGTTGTGCTACAATGCAAAAAGTAGGGAAACATCTTGTGCTATAGAAGAAGTACCCTGTTGAATTTGTAGCTTTAGATTAATTACTAGCGATCATTTTGCATCTGTTGGTAGGAATCAATGCTTGGTTATACAATAGTGTAAGTCAAGAGAGTGAAGGTAACAGGCCAAGTGATACACGTGGCCTGGCTTTTGGGATGTATTTATGAGAGCAAAACACAAAAATTCAACATAAGCAGAGACAGAAACTGGCAGATGAATCTCTGTTTGGTAGTCTGAATTCAGTCACACATTATTCTTCAGTCGTAGTTTATCTGCGTACAACTTAGCACTTTACCAACACAAACTGTAATTGGCCCTTTATACAATCTATGAAGCCGATTTAGACTGTGCATAAGAACTACAACAATGCCAGTGTCTGTAAAATGTAAAAGGTACGTGTATCAGTGTACATGTATATTGAAAAGTCACGTTTTTAGGTTTTTCAGAACGGTGAAATAATACTAAGGTCACTTCTGAACAACATATTTGCAGTACTTTTTGTATACAGGAACGCTTCACCAAGTCGCTCAGATATCTATGCAAAAGTAAAGGAACCCTCCAAGGCATGAAAGACACGTCAATCATCTGCAGTATTTTTCTCTTCCATACACCACTCCTTTTTCTAATGCACATCATCCTGGTTACTCAAAGCTAAATTAAAAAACAAACAAAACCCAAACATAGCCTGTCAGAATTTTTGCCAGTAAACTCTACCACTCCGGTGGCAAATATAAAAGTGCAGAACATCTGGACCACATGGCTGCCCAAACACCGCTAACAATGGTACATCTGTCCAGGCTGCCTTGAGTTCTCTGGAACAGGTTTTTAATTCATTCTACAATATAAACGTAGGCATAACCTATTAATATAAACCATCTTAGAACTTAAATCTTCATGTACAAAAATGACTAAGAATATCTAATAATAACTAGTGCAGTGCGTCAGTGTTTTTGTTGTTGTTGGTTTTTTTTTTTCATTTTCATTTAGAATTACTAGGTATTATACGAAACTAGTTGCCATACTCTCTGGTTGGTAAAAGAGATGCTGTGTGAGCTACAGTAAAGGCAGCCTTTTTCACATCAACCACCCATTTACTGTTCAAAAGCCTTCAACAGAAAGCAAGCTCTGGGATCATTCCACTTCTGCTCATTAATAGACAAATAATATCACCCTCCTACATACTGGGTTCCGATTGGAGGACCTGGCCCAAGTTGCTAATGTCTGGCTTCCAGTGAATTCTGGGCCACTCAGAGCAATAAGCACTTGCTTGCAGTCTACAGTTTCCATCACATGGACTGACTAGCTTCCCTTGGTAAAGACAAGGCTAGGATATTAGGTAAAGCACAATGTTTTACAATAAAGTGGAGCTTCACTGGTCAGCGCAGGAAATAAGCACTGGAGCCTGAGAAATTTCGTTTGGCTGTCCGTCATGTGGGAGAGGTGTGGCCCTCTGACTTCTGCAAAAGAAAAAAAGAAAAGCCACCCATCATTATCTGGAGTATGGGAGGTGCTTTTACCAAAGACTGGAAAGGATGGAAAGCAGCATGTGATGTGGTTTAACATCCTACAGTACAGCACCATGATTTCCTGCTGCTACAGCTGCCCACGTGCCACTTGCACACCTTTTCAGAGGGACTCCTGCAACAGTAAGAAAATATCCAGAGGACAACCTGCAACACAATCCAAAGTCCAGCAAAACCAAGCGTTCATGGTTTTTGAGTGCGTAAACCAAAATGCATGGCCAAAGAGGAAATTAAGAGCACGTAAGTGGTGTTGCTCATTTTGCAAGGGCTTTAGCTCTCAGAGCAGGGAGTACAGCTCGTGTGTGTGCGACAAAAGAAGGTAAGTGCCCAAAGGGGGATACGCCACTTTAGTGCGAGTCAACAGCCAACCTTTAAGCCATATGGAAATACACCCATCAGCAGAGTTCCACGTTGGGATTACTCCAACTTTCATGACTTAACACTTCATCAGCCCAGCACAACCTCTCTTTCATTACCACAGCAGTGTTAATTTACACATGGCCGCCTGCACAAGGGATCATAAAAATAATGTGCACCAGAACTACGTGCTTCTAGAAATCAGCATCAATCACTGATGCAGACGAACTTGGGAGAACTCCTTTACGGCTTGCCTTTTAAAATACACGCACAAAGCCCATCAGTGACTGTTAACTAATCTCACAAGTCAGGTTCTATTTTTGTTATATGGTGTGTCATATACAGCAAGCAAACGGGGGTCTGCCTCTTATTTACATAAAGGCACTTTGCCCCACTCTGGTCGGGCTAATACCTCAGCACAAGTGTCAGGTACAAATGTGTTTTGCGCAACTAGAGTGCAATGACGTGGTTTCAGAACAAAATGCAGCTCAGGCTCACAGTGCTTAACCGGGGCATATGCTAGGTAAGCAAAGCTAGACAGAAAGAGTCAAAGAAAAACCATGTTGTCACTTCCAGTCAAGCTCTAATTACAGCAGAAAGGAGTTTGTCTTCTATGCCTCAAGGATCTGTAAATTATTTAATAATTAAATTCAAACACTGAAAAAACACATTAAGCATAACGTAAGCCTCTAATGCTTTCCTTCTGCTCACTTCCAGCTATTTTCAGAATAAAGAACCAACTTACAAACGATAATAAACAGTCAACAAAGAGCAGAAATTAGAGAAGCATCTAGCCCATCAAACTGAGGTTTGTGTTTTGACTTCCATTTGCCAAGTCTCCGAGAGACATCTGGCTCAGCTTCTACTAGGAAAGTGTCCCCTGACTTCATTTCCTCACGCGATTAGAAGCTGGAATTTCTTTGGAACAGTAGTTAGATATTCGCCTGATTGGTGTTTTCAGGTCTCATGGAAGGTGGCTTCATTGCTGTAACGTTATCGTGAGATGGCAAAACTTGGGAGCAAGTAAGAAGAAAACAAACAAAAGGCTATGTAAAACATGAGCTCAGGCTCACTTTACCAGGGAGAAAAGAAGGATAAAGAACTCTCAGAGAAACAAACAAGAAAAAACCAGGACCAAGCAAATCCTGCCTCTCCTGTGCAATTCTAATCATAGCGTCAGCAGAAACCAATGAAACCACAACGTTGTGAGGGAGAACAGAACTTAGCACAGCACTTCCCCAGGTCTCACTTTGTTGTTTCGGACCACAGAAGAAGACAGAAATGAGTTCAGACTTTTGCTGTCCTGATAACGGATTGGTGCTTTGCAAAGCTGGGAGGAAAGGCCATGCTGCCTTTAGTGTGAAAACATTTCTCACCCAAAACACTGTTGCTTAAGCAAGACAATAGCTTCTGCAGAGAACAGCTGCCAGGCTGGGTGCATCTGATTTTTTGCTTTCCCCTTTTTTTTTTTTTTTAAAGAACTCTGAGCCTATAAAAAGCCTTGCAATTCTTTATGCACAGCCTGAATAAACAGATCCATAAGTACTGGCTTGGCCAATGGGGGTCATGAGATCAGCTGTTAAATGAGGTTGTGAATGGTTTCCTCAGCTGCTGCCTCATGGAATTTCTTAGGTAGCCAGCAATCTGTCAAATGCCATTTGCAGAGGCCATTTTGTTCTCAAACAGGCCCAGTATTTCCCCACTGACTTTCCACAGCAGAAAAAAATGGGGATTCACCTCCAATAAGCTGCAGCATCAAAGAACAATATGTGCCAAGCAGGAACCATGGCAGACTTGGCATCACTGGCATACTCCCATCAGAGGTCTAGGATGTGGGATCTGACTGTGCTGAACTGATCCAACAGACCCAAATAACCTGCACATCCTCCACATTATCTGTGTGGACAGCCTCTGCTGTAATGAAAAGGAGCAGCCCAAACTAACGTGACTTTCCATCACCCAGAATTGCTCTGCCCAATAACTTTTTGTAGATCCTTTGTCTCCTGCACAGAAAAGCACAAGAGCAAAAAACAAGCTTGCTTCATTCAGTCATGTTCGGCAAAAAATTTCTGCTGAAGTTATAATAAGCCCCTCCACAGTCTCAGGCCACAGAGACACACAAATCAGCAAGCAGTAGCTATTTAAACCTGCTATTATCTGACAAATGGTATCTGATAATTACAAACCTCGATCCGTAGGATCTCAAGAAGCATTATCAATTTATTTATAAACACTACTAAGCTAGTGGCATAAAATAAAAATTCAAAGAAAGCTGTGGGAGAGAAAACACAGGCCAAAATAAACATTTTGCAGTTCACATGCTTTTAACAAGCTGGCGGTCATGCAGAATCTATTTAGACAGCAAGGGAAAAAAGCATACCTGTGTACGTTTTCCATTGCTGCTACTTCTGCCAGAGCAGCTAAGCTAAAAAATGCAGACACTGCTGGCATATCTGGTGTAATACTATGAGTTTCTTCTGACTCTGCATTTCTGGAGCACTCACTGTTGCAATCTGTTTCTGCACTTGACGTTTTTTGAAGAGTACTTTGTGGCAGCTCTTTTGGCTTTTCCTCTGCAACAAAAGAAAGTAAAGCTTGCAGGTAAACGGGATGATCAAGGCCAGCCGTTACGTTCTCAGCAGCGCATCCATACACTGATCACTCTGGTGTTAACACGAACTTTATCTTTAGGACTTTGATTTTGTTCATGTAATCCAATCTATGCTGCAACCTCTTGTGACCCAAGCTATTGGCAGAAGCACACTGAGGTTTATGAATCAGTTTGCTCAATTTGGATTCAACTCAGTTTGATCTTTCAGGTCAGGCAAGAGAGTGTGTGTTTTTGTGTTGTTTTAGATACAGAAATCCTGAAAGATTATCTTAACTGCTGAAGACTCTTGCACAGTCTGCGGCATTGATTTTCACATTACGGAGTTTATTTTTATGCCCTATAACTAGGCATAGTGTGATTTCTTTGCTGGACTGGAAGCCAAAGTAAATTATGAAGGGTAACTGTTTTGACAGAATCACCGAGGGGCTGGGGTTGAAAAGGACCTCTGGAGATCATCTGGTCCAACCCCCGTGCCCCAGCAAGGTCAACTAAAGCAGGTTATCCAGGACTGACTGTGTCCAGTCTGTTTTTGAGCATCTCCCAACAATGGAGACTCCACAACCTCTCTGTGCAACCTGTTCCAGTGCTCAGTTGCCCTCACTGTGAACAAGTGTTTTCTTCCCACTTCCCTCTGCACCCAGACCACAGGTCTTAGAGAGAAATCCAGAGAACTTAGGCAGATTTGGACATTAGAACAAAAGAAGTTGACCATTTTGGACTCACTGATTTCCCAGTTGATTGATATCCGCATTTTACAGAATGCCCTTTCTGAAGCAGGTCTGAAAACAAGCTGACTTAGACTTCCCTGATAGCTTGCTTATGCTCCAATACCATGCCCAACTACTTATACTCTCATTTCCTTACCCAGTGTCCCTCCTGCTGGTGACACTCGACCATCGGCTGTTCGTACAAGATGGGTGATCTTAGTTTTCCTTGCTTTCCTTTTCTGGCTGCCAACTAAGGGTTCATGCATCATTGCTGGCTCTGGAGTGTTTAGGGCTGATATAGAAATTTTATTCTTCCAGGCAGGCTCACTGGAATTTTTGTCTTCTGAGAGTATGGCTGAAAAAGGACAAAAACGGAGCTTTAAACGTAGAATAATTCAGCTGCTAGCTTTGCTCATTTACCATTTTGAGTCCATCCATGTAATACACTAAGCCTTCCCTCACAGCTGTTCAGAGCATAACCCACGGCAAGATACGAACTGAATGCTGCAGGGGTTTGCAGGGGAATAGTACCATCAGCTCCTGAAGATTTCCTAGGAGGTTCAAGTTTCTCACATTTGCAAAGGAAATTGTGAGAGAGGCAGTAGCATTTCAGTGGGACCAGGGTTTCAATCAATTTGCATAAAACACTCTGTAACTGGAGATGCCAACCAGTGGCTGGGGGATAAAATGCAGTGCAGGAACAGTAATGGCTACAGTCCTCACACAAGCTTATTTTAGATCACAGACAGACTCAAAAGCAGAATTCAGGAATTCCTGACTAACTCTCAGTCTTCTCTCTACAGTTGCTCTACTCTGTCTCCGCTAAGCAGACAGAAATGCTGCCTTTTACAAAACAATGAATCTTGAAAAAAGGACCAAAAAGGCAGGAAATATAAAGCAGAGCTAGATCACAGCTGAAGAATGACAAAAAAAGAAAGTAAGCACAGAATAAAATAATTTGACAGAAATACTGCCTACATGAAGTCAGAAGCGAGAAAGGAACGGTTTGAATCTTTCTAAACAGTACCAGTGTTGGCGTTTCCAAGCAGCTTTCCGCCCTGAATTGGGACACAATCACAAATTTTCACCTGACTAGACAGTGACTTAGCTTGCGTTCATGAGGAAGTTGGTCAGACAGAAATCACAACATGGATTTAGGTTTTCAACGTACAATTGTCAACTGCTTGTAATTCTCATTGATTCAAGGAACCAGACGGCTGCTACCGCAGAATACCATTTGTCCGCAAATTCAGAATCTGGGACATTCTTTTTCCATCTTTGGTAAAGTATTATGAAGTCCACCTCACCTGTGATTACAGCAAGATAGGGCTGGAAAGACATTATAGGTGTCGCACAGGGATTCCCACCTGCTGGACTTCACCCAGAATTACACAAAATACAGGTTATCAGGTAGTTACTAGTTCACCTCCCTCTATGTTATGCCCAAGCCATTCCTCACAGATGCTTGTCTAACCTGTTTTGAAATTGGAAACACTGATGACATCTTCACCAGGTCCCCAGGTCACTTCTTCCCAGTGCACTGCCATCCTGAACTATTACATCTTGTTCCTAATGCCTAAACCTAATCTCCCCTGCTGCATTTTCAACTCATTATTTCCTTTCCTATCTGTCATGTTATACACCTTGTGCCTGTTTGCAACAGTTCTCGATATATTTAGCAGCTGTTACTGCATCTACCTTTAGCCTTCTCTTCCCCACAATTTCTTTCAATCCTTCTCCTTGTTTTCAAGATATGTCTAAGACCTATTTGTTCAGAGACTTTGTGGGAGGTAGGACAAGCAAAAATGACATGCATAAAACTCAAGCTACAGTGCAAACAACTGTTCTTTCAGAAGGGTTAAGCACCGAATGAGAACAACCTCCCACATTCAGACGCAGGAGCACCAACACCTTCAAACTGGGCACAAGCAGCCAAAGAGTCTGGGCTGAGCTTCGTTTTATTCTGTATCTATTGCTTGTTTTGTAGATTTAATGAGCTTCCTATTCAAAGAGATGACAATATAAACTCTATCTTTTGCTGGCTTCTTTAACTGTAAACTATGCAAGCATGAAGACTGGGAGAAGAGAATAGCTCTGACACGTTTTTATCTTGTTATCTTTTGCCCTTTGCTCTTTTGTTTTAAGTGGGAGAGGGTCTTGTTTTTCTTCTAATGATTTACAGCATAAGCATATGATTAGATCTAGTAAGTATGTGTAAAGACACTTGGAAATGTCTTGGAAAACTTAATTCATCTATGCTCTTAATTTATCTTCCTATCTCCTCTCCAAAAACATTTTTGGACTTGTGCATGTTCTTCATTTTGAATAAAAGCATACAGCTTTAATTAGCTTATCTCAGTGTTTAGCCAGAGATGCTAACCTTTGCAGAGCAGAGCTATGCTGTAAAGCTTATTTTTGTAGAGACGAGGAGAGTTCACAAGAAAAAGAAGATCTTCCCCGTAACAGTCCAATTAAGTAGAAGTGCCAGTGACTGTAAATGTGACTTTCAAGCAACTCAATAGTTTGGCTAATAGTGAGATGTTCAGATAAGCTTACTGCACTGATTGAGAGAAAAGTCTTAATGGGAATGCATAATTAAATGGGTAACTTTCTCTCTAGATTTCCTATTTGAGGATTTATAAGCATTGACTATGTATTAAATGTAATGGTTTGGTTCTAATCCAACAGTAGTTGCTAATTCTGATTTGGAGATTTGCTCTAATTAGATTCTACTTTGACAGTGTTGTTTAATTCTAGTTTGATTTAATTTACAATGGCTTTAATCTTAGTAACATAATTCTTCATTTTTTAGATTTAATAAAAAAATTGAAGACATGGCAAGTCAAATTGCAAACAATTAAACAACATGTGACAGAAAAATCTGATCTGGTATGTTTTTAATAAAATGTGTCATATATTACAAGCTATGGCAGGTCACTGGAAATTAACTTGATCAATCAATGCACGAAGGATACTTTGTAACTTATCTTTTCTTCTTCGCACTGTAGACATTAAAAAGCCCAATAAACTACAAACAAAGCTAAAAAAAATCGCGAAAGGTAAAATAAAGAGAGACAATAGTTTTAAAAAAGAAAAGGAAAGGAGATATGAAAATGTCTTTGCAACAGATTAAGTTGAAGGAGTACACCACATTTGGGTGTTTGGTGAAGAGGTAACAGAGGGTAGCTGACAAACTCAGGACACAGTAAGTGCAATCCCTCTCCATATTTTAAGGCTTCTCAGTCCCTGAAATGAGACCTAAGAGGGCTCTCTCTGTCTGTTCTCTTTAGCTCCAGGGTAAGCTCTTTATCAGTTCCCCACTGCACTGCTGCCATACAGCTCTGAACGGGGGAGGACTGAGGATGAAGAGTGTGTGTGTGTGTGTGTGTGTGTGTGTCCTGTGGGGTGTTGAAGGGAAGAGGTGCTTTCCTCAGGAGAATTTTTCTTTTTCAGTCCCATGTCTCCTAGTTACTCTAGCTAATGGAAGTCGGGATGAGAAAGTATTTCACTGACTTCTTTGTGGGTTATTATTCAAACAGAGATAAAACCTAACTCAGAGGAAATTATATTTCAGGGACTCAGAGGAAGATTAAAGGCTTCACCCTGAAGATCCTTTGCACTAAATGCCAGGGAAAAGAGTGCATGCTCCAACAACCACATAGCTAAGCTAGATGCTAACAGGGGTCCTCACTTCCTTCAAGAGAGACAGGACCTCATTGCTTTCACTGACAAAGGAACATCCATGTGGGTTGTCCATAATGAACATTTCTAAGGCAAGTTCACATGGAAGTCCTTGCAGCATCAGGCCTTGGCTTTGCAGTGTAAAAAGGATGGGGCTAAAGATAAGCTTTCTTCCCTGGATTTTTCTTTAATAATATATCTGCATCTCTCTATGTTTTAATCCATTTCATATCCTTTCTGTTTCCACACCATCCTGTGTGCAAGAGCTCTGTAGAGCTCAGCTAATTTTCAGGAGAATGCTGTCTAGAAATGAAATGAGGTTCTGCAGCTACTGTGCAGTCCTGCAAAGGTTTATGTACTTACCTTTCCACAAGAGAGTAGTGCAGGCAGAAGTAAAGGGCTACTTTTGCAAAAAAGTAGCACATAGCATTGACCTTTTGGTAAGCTTACGCCACAGTCACAAAAGTGTTTGCAAAAAAAAAAAAAAAAAAAATCCAGAGCTCTATGCCAGATGGTTTCCTGAGCTACATTTGTCTACAGTTAGCATGGACAGTCTACCCTACTCTGAGGTCTGCAGAACGCACGTAGCCTTATTTCCTCCAATCTACAGTGCAAGAAGGAACCCAGCTGAGTGCAGGCTGCAACACAACAGAAGTCTGACGCAGCAAATGAGAAACTGCTTTAGCTGTATCTTAAGTCTTAAACGGATTAAAAAAAAAAAAAGTAGAAAGAAATTGAGGAATGAAAAGACCTGACTCACTCCTCTGATATTCCTCATTTATATTAATTACTAGCATTTGTGTAAAGCTTGCAGCTGGAGATGGAACTTGATCGCTAACCCTGATTTTCAGGCTGCAGTGTAGTGGCATACAATTAAAGTAGAAACAGCAAAGCAAGCTCGAGAGAAGAAAAAGCATTTACAAGCCTGCTCTTTACTAAGGACATGTTGATCATCATTTTCTTATAAAAATAACATTAAACCATAAAAGCCTTGAAATAACAAGGTTCGTTCTTCTTTCCTCGTGAAAACTTTCCCCTTTCAATCCCAAAACACAGTGAAACAGTAGATTTTCAAACGGCAGGAAGCAATTACACCCAGGTTATCTTCACTGTTTTATGAGCCAAGTCCGTCTTTGCACTAAGTGCTGAAGATGAGTGTCTAAAGCTGAGTCCGTATCACTGGAAATGGATCCTCTGCAACGTGCCCTGCAAATCTGCTCCTCTTATTATCTCAACGAGCAGAGATATTGGAGGGCCTCAAAGTTTCCTTTGTGTACCTCCGTTTCCTCTGGAAGGCTCCAAAGCATAAGGACATGAAGATCGGTCTCAGCTCCTTCCAGTATAGAACTGGGATACAGCCAAGGTGCTCTCAGGAGCTAGAGCAATGTGCACTGCAGTGTATCTTTACCCCACAGCTCTCCTAATGCCCTACTGAGGGAGGCCGGGGCGAGACAGAACTGCCTTCAGGGAGCGCTAGAGCCAAAACTGCACTCAAACTGCAGAGCCTGGTGTATGTGGAAAAATGCTGAGTTCAAGACCCCACTGAATCAGCTACTAGCCTTATTCAAGACTGAAACAGCCTCATCCACCTTTGTGAGCATGAAAAATGAAATCGATTAAACTGACTCAGCACACTATGGAAGAGGATGAGCTTTTCAGACTGAACCTCAGTAAGACACCAGGCGTTTAAAACAATCTCTTCAGGGATGCCTATCAGTTACTACAGAGCTGCAGGAGCTTAACCATGTCCAGCAGAGAATAAATGCCGCATGGGTCAAAGCTCATGGGCATCAAGAAGGAAAGGTGGGCTATAATGGTTTAATGGTTTCATTAAGTTAATAAGGGGAAAGTCCAGCACGGCAGAGAACAAAGCTTCCAACGTCTGTCTTCATCAGTGCCAAGGGAACAGCTTCACTAAGGAACTGATGTCAAGCAAACTCAGATCTATAGCCTGGGGGAAATCCTAGCTCATCAGACAACAGGATGCTGCTGCAATACCACGCATGGGGTAAGACGGCACCCTCAGCTATGGCAAACAATGGGGAGACTAACAAACCGCGTGACACGGGCTGACAAGAAAGCAGATCATCAAACCTGACCAGACTTTCCCCTTAACTTAATGAAACTATTAAACCATTATAGTCCACCTTTCCTTCTTGATGCCCACGAGCTTTGACCCATGTGGCATTTCTTCTCCACTAGACATGGTTAAACAAAGGCACGGTAGCGACAGAGCCACTGACTCCCTTTGGGCTACATGCCCCTGGCACAACAGGGCTTTCTTAGCAGGGGAAAAAAAAAAAAAGGTCATTCTGCTAATTTTCTATACTTTTCTGTTCTTGCTCAGCCAAGTACGCAGAGGCTGCACAGAGCACCGCGCGTGGGAGAGCTGCTGGAGGAGGCAGCAGGCAGTGAGCTCTGCCAGCCGCAGGGGCTGGGCCCCTCTTACACATCAGCTGGTGGTGGGGCTGGTGTTTCTGCCTGTCTCCTCTTCTCCCCTTCTGGTGCAGAGGCTGGCAATGAATTTGGTTTTTACGTGGACCCCGCAAGCAAGGGCGCACAGCAGTGTACCTCTGCCGTGCAGCCTACACGGTACACCTCACCACACACACCTGTAAGGAGCCAATGGCTGTGACACCCGCCTTGGTTTTTAAGTATTGCTTCCCACCAGAAAGCCTTGTCAGTGGAGCTATCCTGACTAGCATGGAGTGGTGTAACTCTGCGGACAAAAGCACCAGTGAGACGGGCACAGCTGTGCTTTTGTCAGCCTCGCCTAAGGATGTGACATATCTCTGCTTTCAGTTCTACTGCTGTATGCTCTCTGCTAAGAGGAGCAAGGGTTGTGGCATGTCGGCCATTATTTTACTGGGTTACATTTCTGCAAACATTTGCAAACTCATGATATCAATAATTTGCACTGATGATGCTGCGTACAAAGCAGTCACATGAAGCCTGAATTCACTCAGACGTCCAAAGTAGAGAGAGCTCTAGACAACATGATCCAATCATTGTAAAATTTGCCTTTCCTGCACCAACTTGTCTCCAGGGCAGAAGTTTTCATTCAAAACACACACTTTCCAAGCTGACAAAATATGAACCAAGCATGACCCCAGCTAACAGCAACTCCTCCAAGTGTTTCCTTCCCAGCTACCAGAATATCTAACTCCCTCCTTTCTCCAGCAAAATTAATTCCTTAAACCACAAAACCACACAGACAGATCTGTGACTCACCGCAAGTACAGAGGAACCACAAAAAGGACCAGATATTTTCATTTTAGTATTTGATTCAGTAAATGCTTCCATATTTGAATTTAAATGAAGATGGCAGTATTCCCAGCCTGAGTGCTGTGGAATATCGGACACTGGATCCCGAGACTTTAGGGCCACACCGCCCAGGTAATCATGAAACTGTGATGGTACACAGGCGGTACCTTGAAGGTGAGGCAGCCCAAGGCCATACCCACAGGGCACTTTGCTGACAAATGCCCCACTTTCAGTATCACCATATGATACATTAGGTTAGACAAGACCCCAGATCTTTACCTCTTTCAGTCCCAGGATGGATTTCTAATCCACAGAAAATGCAGTTCTCCATCACTGTATAGATCCACTACCTCTCCTTTGATGATTTCTATGGAGGCTTTGTAAGACTGGTAAGTACAAGTTTCTCTGGTGTTTGCTTCAGTCTTGGGAGGTAGCAAACTGGCCCTACTCCAGCAAAATGCATAGGCATATCTTTACTGTTTAGACACAATGACATTACTCACATGCTTAATGTCCACGGACATGCCACTGTGTTGTGCTGGAACAAGGCCAGGGTGCTCAGCACTTGTCAGGCTTGAATCTTTGATCATAGTGCACGCTTTATATCAAAGGATGATGGCTTCTTTTCATCTGAGCTTTTTACATTTTGTTCAGTTTCACTTTATTGTTGCACATTTTAAGATATTTAAATTTTTTACTCAACCATGTATTAAAAAGCTTTCTGTTTCATTTCCCATATGAGAATTTTAATACATACATTTTTCTTAAAAATTTCTCTCTGCAGTCTTTTAATAATTCAGGCACAATAACCTGAATGGCATGCAGTAAGACCTGTATTAATGTATGATGCCTTTTTCACAATCAGCTTGGAAGCAAGACAGTTACTTCCCATATCCGACAATATATTTGTTGTACAAATGCAATGAAACAGCATCAGTTATTTCAAAACACTTGTACTGAATTGCTCTGCATGCAGCAGAGCCGGTAGAGCCTACGCATGAAAACAGTGCAAGTACACCACAGAGGATCCAAAACAGCATCAGAGGGAAAAGCAGAGGAAGTGACGTGGCCAAGCCTTAAGGTGAGGGATTAAGCAGAAGGATAGCTGGGGGAACTGGAGAAGGGGACTGTCATTTTACTATCTTAGAAAGATACAGACATTGATGGAAAAATAAATAAATAAAAGGAAGAAATTCATGGAGCCACCTAAGTACAGAGAACCAGAAAGGCTCTTCTACACCACAGGGAAGAGAACGTGGGAGAGAACTCTACTGTGCAAGGGCAAAAACCCCAGCTTCGGCCTGATTTGGATAGCATGGGCATGATGACTAGAAAGTAAACACACAACAAAAAAGGCTCTGGGAACCTGGCTGAGCTATGGTCCTGCACACACTGTACCCCTGAAAATTCTCCTGGGAGTTGTGAATGTGTGAGGATATAAGGACCAGAACACTAAAACAAGAAAAAGGCTTTGGAGAGCTGTCGGCAGCAGGATGGAGGGCAGAGCAAGCCCGTGACAGAACTTAAAAACTGGAGAAACTCTCTTCAATCAAAAGCAAGCAGAAAAAGCTAGTAAAGATTTCTACAAACGGAGGGTTGGTTTGGGGATGGCAGGACTTCTTTTGAGTTGTGCTGCAGAAACAGGCTCTTACAGTCTGCCCATCTGCAGTTCTTGAGTTTCAGACAGACGGAAATCTCAGAGAAGGTGCTACTCCAGTGGAGAGGCAATGGGAACACAGATAAATGCCCTGGCACGGGAGTAAATAATACGGTCTCCCATATAGAAGGGATAGAGATAGGAGCAGCCAAATGACTAAAAGGCTAGGAGCTATGGCAGACAAAAAGGGTTCAGGGCCAATTGCAGAACTGTCCTTGCTTTGTCAGCTCTGCTGCCAGGAGTTTGGAGCACAGGAACTGCAATTGTAATTAAGGGACATATCAATTAACAGCAAAACAGCATCATATTGGAATAAGGTAATATGATCAACTAGACCCAGGAGCTGATGAAACCAAAGCAGATAGGGAAGTAAAGGACCAAAGCGATCAAAGACTGGAGAGCTGAGTAGCCTCTGTCCAGAAGCATTACCCAAGACTGAATTCGGAGGGAAGGTGGCCCAAAACCTTTACTGAGTAATGCACCAGTACCTGTGTCCGGAACATTAAGCTTCTCCTTTTTGTGCTTATATTTGCTGACAATTTTGTGGAATAAGTTCTTTTTCTGAGACTGGAATGAACCTACAGACAATATTAATAATACACACTTTTAATTAGCAGTCTTAAAAAGAGTACAACAGTCACAGCATGTAGTATATACAACCTCCCCTTCCATTAATACAGAATGCCATTTCATGGGGAAGTACAAAACCTGATCTAACTCCCACGACGGCCTCGGGAGGCTTTCCGTTGACTTCAGCAGGCTGTACTTCAAACCCATCAGCTCCCCATGTTTAAGGGCATATAAGGCATTTTGGAGAATGCTGACTGTAAGAAAACTTAACACACAAAAACCAGGGATTTTGTTTGTTTCTTTGTTTTTTAACCTCTAAAGACATCCTCCTTTTTGGAGACAAGACTTAGGTTTGCCCTTTTCAGTGACCAGAAAAAAGCTTATACTAAGTGCAGAAGTAAAAGGAGCTTTTACTTCTGCGCTTAGCATAAATATATTTATACTAAATAAAAGAGAAGAAGGTGAAGTTGCGCTGAGCTCATGGTATCATCCCTAGTTTGATAGCAGAGTCTTTACTAGTAGTTGCCAGAAGCCGTCTTAAGCAGCAGCAGACCACAAAGTATGCCAGTAGCATGGACCATTAAAAGGCCATCTTTTGACCCCTTAATGGAGTAAACGGTGATATAAAAGCAACAAAGACATAACAGACCAAAGAAAGGACAGATGCATAATCTCTACACTGCAAAGCCATTTTAATCAAGTTACTTGTTAGAAACAAACTGCACTTGAAATGCTTATTTCCAAAAATATAGCAGTAAGCAGGACATGAGGTGAAGACCTGCCCCATCAGAAATGAGATGCACTGCAGATGCCATGACGGCTTGTCACCTAACAGGTGACACTCCTCTCCTCCGCTCCTCCTTATCCTCAAAAGGAACCAAACAAATACATTGGCTACTGAGGCATGACTGCAACGAGGTAAGAACACAAGATCAAGGTAAGTCTACATAATCTCTGCAGTTTACCATCACTGACTAGCCCTGCATGTGGGGGATTAAGAAGAATGCATAAAACATGCAAGAAACGTGACTGATGGCAGCAGGAACCTCCGCCTGGGAACACTCAGTCTGGTTCAAGGCCGCTACTTAGGGAAGCAGCAGGCAAGAAAATGAACAGAGACTACATCACTAACTGCAACTGCATTTCCCCCAAATTTAGGAAACATGTCCCCTCTACTCTGCAAAGTTCCATGTTTTTCAAAGGCCAGATCAAACTGAAAGCATTTTGGCATTATCACAACAAAACCTGGAGGAATACCTATGCCTCCCAGAAAGCTGTGGCATTGATTTTACGAGAGCTAACAGAGTCCCTGTGGATCGAGGGCTGAGGCTCGTGTATCTTTTACCTGGAGCTCAGCTCAGCCTCCTGGTTTAACAGAATTGTTTCTTATTAAAATCTCTGCCACTGTCCCGTGAGGCTGTCGGGTTGCTGTGACCTGACCTCCGTGACTCCCAGAGGAGCTGGGGTTTGCCAAACAGTTGTCTGTGCGTTTCTAAATCCCTCAGGAAGAAGATGCTATATTTTTAGGTCACGATCTTTGAAATGTTATGGCATGCGACCTCCAGACAGGCTCAATGCTCAGAACCGAGCCAAAAAAACTAAGCTAAGACCGCGCGGAACCTCACAAAGAAGCATTAGTTTTAAGCGGCTGCTTTACTTCTAGTCCTAGGGGCCACAGAGAAAAATGGAGGCATTCCCTTTCCCAAATGAAAGCATGCTAGGCACTTCGCTCCACTCACCTCCCCAAAATGACAGCTTAAGTGAAGTGGTTAGTGTGTAAGTGAGCGTTTCTTCACAGCACAAGCTAGAAATAATGACTATGCCTATTGCTCATTTTTGCATATGAGCAAATCAGTGACTCACTGCAGGCTGATGACTTCTGTGTGGTTGAGTATTTTGGCACAGATGCCATTGGAAAGAAGGAAAAAAAAAGTCAGTCACAGCTCCAGTGAATGTTGGAGCAGGCCATCTGTACAAATTCAGAGTAGCCGTATTTTTCAGCCATCTTGTTCCATTATTATTGGATATGCACATACCCAGTAAAAAGTGCTTGGGGTAGGATTTGTAGAACTGCTATAGACTTGTCCAGTTCTGCTCCCACTGAAGAAAAATTCCCATTAATTTCACTGGGAGCAGATATATGGCAATTTGGAATATTTTAGGGGAAAAAATTACTTCTCTCTCACCTGTGAAAGTTCAAATTTGCCTTAGGCAGAAGCTGAGCTTTCATGCTACAGGGCTCTTCAGGTGGTTTTAACGTTAAAGTAAGTGGCAGAAAGGGGAGCTGAATAGGGCAAGACCAACAGATGAAAGATTCAGTGGACATTTACCGACTGATTTTCCACTGAGGAGCTGAAAAATACCCTGCTAATCCTGTCTGCTTGGGTTAGTTAGCAGATCAGGCCATCTTCCCACTTAGCCTCTTGTAGCTATAGTGTAATGAAATTTGACAGAAAATTATCTGACACCATGTATCCCAAAATAAAATAAAGCCACGACAAGCAGGGCAGAATGTTTTTCTAGGCGTAAAGACACAGTTATATAAAAAAAAAAAATCCCAAAAACGTTTTTCTATTTTTATTCTAGCATCTCAGGGAAGCGTTCATGTGCGGCAATAGAATCTGTCTTCCAAATTTTAAGTACAATGTAGTAAGGACTGATCTGAAGATTGCAGAAAGTGAGTACTCATCTGGGGACTGAAAACGCATGGGAAGTTTATGATCCTGCATATGTTCATTTGGGAAAAACAGAGCTTGGTTTCAAATAGTCTTTACTAGGTCTACCCCTCAGGATCATTATTGACTGGAAAATAAGTGCATTCAGAGGCCCCAGTCACCAGAAGGCCCCACTTGTGCCAGATGCCTCCGTATCACAGCCCCTCTTCCCATGACCAAACAACCAGAGACAACTCAAAGAAAGAGCAAAGCAGCACAGATAGCTCCACGCAACAGCATTATGCAGAGCGCAGCACCCTGCAGTTGAGCTCTACTATATCCCAACTCTGAGTCATACCCACGAGACTCTATTGCCCCTTCACAGTTCACGCTCATCACGCTGCAAGAAAACAACGTCACTTTGGCTTTTAGCTTAATTCGAATGATGTAAAAAAACCTGATAGTTCAAAAAATCTGGAACCACCCCACAACAACTGCTAGCATTTTGCACAATATGCCTGCTTGCCATGTTTCTTTTTCCTGCAACACTCACAGAAGCCCATTTTGTACACGTGTGCATGGTACCTTTTGAGGTCAGTATTCTCTATAACAGTCTTTGGACACGTCACAGTTCACAGGCAAGCCAACAGCATTTCTAGGCTGAATAACCTGTCAGTATCTCACAAACTAATTTGGGGATTCAGCTTAGTGAGTGTTTGGCTCAGCTGGGACAGTTTCCCTACTAAGCTAGTAAGCAGGTTTGGTTCAGGTTGGTTCAGGTAGTTTCAGTCCCACAACTCACATCCTAATTTTAAGTATCCTAACAAAATCTGGTGTAAAACAAGTTAAAATCAACCCATTGCCATGGAATGTTTGTATTTTTAGAAATCATCCTTTTCCAAAAGAAAAATGATTTGTTAGAAAGTTTTTCGTTTATCTCTTGAGAGCTGAACCTCACCCTCCAGGGAGCTGGGATGACTGACATAAGCTGACAGTTTGCCCAGCTAGCTTAAGTGAATTCAGCATTCATGGAAATGAGGAACAGATATCACTATCTCAGTCTGGATTTAGTTCAGGCCTGTGGTTAGATGTTCACTGCAGAAACATCAGTGTCACTATCAGATGTTCCTGCCCCGGGGCTCCTTGTTGCAACCCCACAGCTCAGTTGGTGGAAAAGTTCATGTGACTGTTTCCCATCTGCTTCAGTGCAAAGTCAGCTGCCTTAGTTTCAAGAGCCCTTACTGACAGCTAGAGGCAAATGCTCCATGGCCGCCTCCACCGGGCTGTGCCAAAACTACTCATATCAGGCTTGCAATGTGCCTGCAGTTATGTTTCTGACCCTCCTTTGAGACACGGCCAAAAATACTCCAAAGCTTTTCAACAGTGATGCAAACAAGGGTAAAAATGAGTTCTTTCTTATGAATTCAGCCAAAAGCAGAATGCAGCTCTAGGCTATCTGACCTGAGAGAGCATTAGACCACGCAATTTCCAAACAACTCAGGACTTCACAAAATAACCTGCAAAATTTTTAGACACACAGACACTTGAATAGGTACTACAGCAGTGAGAAATCCAGGAAGCTGCTATGACAACTTCAACTGCCAGTTCATGTTAGATGAGTAGATGTTGTTCCCAACAGATGCTGCTTAATAAACCACTGTATTATCATACTGCAAAATAATTAATTCCTTTCGATTAAAGAATGCCTCTTGAACATATACCATAAAAAACGAAAAATCTGTAAAGTCAGGACTCAGTTGGTATTAGCACAGGTCCAATTTTGCAAGAATCTGATTGTTCCACATCTAATTACATAAATACAAAAATCAATAACAAAATTGGCATGCACTAGAAAAGAACAGATGCTCAATCCTGCATATTGTAATGTGATTATTTGTGAAGCATTCAAAAGGCATGGATTTAATCCAGGGTCACCTGGCTAAATACACATATTATATCTGAAAACTAATCAGTCAGCGATGCTACCACAGTGTCAGAAAAACAAGCCACTTTCCTATTATGAAAAGTCTTTGAGCATCCTTTTGTCTCTGCAGAACTATTGGTAAGGCATTCCTTCATTCTGTGATGCTTCAACATCGTATTTATGCATCATCGATATTAGCGTCACAGTCTAAGTTATCCCTACCATGTTCTCACTTCTGTATCTCAGGCTGGCTATACATAAAACAACAAAATGTGACATGAGTTTCCCCTTCTGAAAGCCTCGTTTATGGAGTTGAGCAGTGAATTGGTTTATTCTAATGATAGTTATGATCTCAGAGCGTTTTTGCCCAAATTTATGATGGAAAGTTAAAAACCAGAGAAAAAAAATTTGCATTCCGTTACCTCTGATATCTTCTGTTTTAAATTCTAGAGGCTAAAACTACACCTAAATGCAAAGCCACATAGAACTATGCTTTGAAAAATACTAAGATTTAACTTTTCAATCATCTGCAATTTTTTTCCAAATTTTTTTCTAGGAAAACTTGTCAAATTCACTTACCTCAAAAATATTCCTATTTTTCATAAATTTGGTCATCATGAGGAAACTATTTCATATAAAAATACACACCAGTTCTACTCAGCATGAAAATCAGGAAGAGACAAGGGTGCAGCCTGAAAACTCCAGAGCAAACGAACCCAGGTAAGAACCAACTAACTTTGACTCCACGCTGTTCACGTACATAATAACAAGGTAAGAAGTTATAAATTCCTGAGCATGGCATAGCATCGTTATTGTTTATAAATGTAGTGCAGTAATTTACCTTTGTTGGATTTTGGTTGTTCAGACGAGCCACTTCCAACCTTTCTCTTCTTCCTCGGAACAGATGAACTTTTCCGGTCAAAGGTAATAGGGCTGTATTGAGGGAGGCTGTTGAATTTCTTTTCAAATTCTTCTTCCAGCTTTGCTAAGCTAAATGCGGGAGAAAAAAATCAATCAAATTCCGATTTTTCCCCAGAAATGAAGTTACATTTAATATTGTTTATAAGCATGTATGTGTGTATACATACACACAAATAAATATATTTTGGGGGGGGGGAGAGACAGACACACACCCACACCACGTGAGCATCAACCAAATATGTATTATTCCACATTTGGAAGGAGAATACGCACACTGCAATTTCTGCGTTTGTGACTCAGTACAAATTAATTACATTATTTGCATATATTAAAATTAAAAAAAAACAATGTCAGGCTGATGACAATTAGCTACAGTTGCTCGACGTACAGAAGACTGCCATTCTACAGGGTGGGGGGAGGGTGAAAAAAGTCAAAAGATTAAAAGAAAAAAAAAGAGCATAAACTAACATCCAAGAAGTAGCAACAGCAGGTGATGCTGGATTAGGAAGAACATCATTTCTGAAAACAGCAATGTAAAAAGCTAAATGAATCAATAAAATAATTTCACACAAAAAGTTCTCAAAACTCAAAGAAAATAACAATCCAAACCAGAAGAAAAAGGTCAAATTATCCAACCCACCTAACTCTTCTGGGAAAAGGGGAGGAAAAAAAAAATTCCAAAATCAGGTGCTTTGGGATGGGATTTAACTACACATTTATTTAGTGGCATATTTCCTCCTCTCGTGTTTTATTTGTCGTGAGAGGAAAAATGCACGTAGCTCACGCTTTCAGGGAAGCCAGCATCCCTCACGCTTCAGCCCAACACGAAAGACTATAATCAGCTTTACCTACTACCTGAAAACTCACTCCACAGAGGTGGTACTGTTGTTCATAACAGACAACAACACAACACTTTAACTTGATGGGATGGCATGCCACTTCTGGCTGTAATGACTACGGTATCTTGTGCAAGCACTGCTCTTGAGCAAACCTGCAGCTAGGCAGGAACATAGGAAGCAATTGTGTTTTAACACAAGGCAATTGGCACCGCGAGGCTGTTGAGAGGAGTAGGCAGGTTATAAATGGAGCTGTCAACGACAGGGAAACAATGGATTTTCCTACTCGTCTCAAATTCTATTTGCTACGGACAACCAGAACTCCACAAACGTTGGTGTGACTGTTGGACGGGATGCCCGTTAAACATCGCACATTGGAAGAAACACAAGAAACACGATTTTGTTCTCTGCCCTCAGAAACAGCACGCAAAATGAAGCACCATTGCGTGCACCAAAGCTTTCAGAAGAACGCCGTCTGATTTACCCCGCAACCGTTTTTTCTTTTGGTAAGCAATCTCATCTTCCTTAGTGTGATTTCATCGTAAAACCCAGCCCAGGCTCATGGCAAATTGCCTGCATGGTGGTATTAATTTTTTTAATCGTGGAGATAGCTGACATCAGCGGTGCTCTGTACCGCTGCCTTTCTATTCCGCAGCCATGCTCTTTTCGCAATTGCCAAAAAAGCCCATTTGCTGCTTCGACAGCTGACATGCAATCCCATCGCCTGCCCCAGGTCCTCTCCCGCTGCCTCGTCTCCCATCCCAAGGGCACGCGTGGGGCCGCAGCTCCCATTAGGAAGGCCTCAACCCTGGAAGTAGACGAGCCGCTACCCTGGCTAATAATTTATAGGGCTGAGGGACAAAGAGGCATTAGAGAGTGCTGCTATCACTATGTCAGGGATTAATTATTTAAAGAATCGATCATATTATCTCAAATTCCCAGAGCACTTCACAAGCCTACTCAGACGCACGCGAAGGCGCGGGGCTGCAAGCAGACAAAGCGAGCGCGACGTGGAGCGCCAGCGAAAGCGCGGGCAACTCCTGACGGAGGTAAGGCGACGCGGGGAAATAACGGGAGAAAGAGGTAACGCCAAGGACAGCGAGCAGACGAGAAACCCCCTCCAAAACTGAGGCTGAGGGATGGCAACTAAGGGAGCAATAAAAGCTAGGAGGAGTGGGTAGAAATAAAACCAGCTCTTCAAGGAGACAGAAGATTAGGCAGTGCAATGAAGGGGGGTAATGGCTACCTTCTCCAGCACTTGCGCTCCATAAATTACTGCTTCTGCTTTTATAGAGTTCACTGAACAATATTCATTAATGACATGACTGAATCAGGAAACAAGACTCTCAAATATGTATTTTCCCCATCCAGAGAGGCAATGATGGCAGAACAATATTTGTCAAATGAATGAATTATTTACATAATTTTCCTAGCAACTCTGAATAAATCATTTGCAGCTACATTTTTTTTTTAGTTAGAGATGCAGTTGCGGTTTTCATGGTGTGAGGTGACCTAAAGTTTTAAATTTACATTATATTAAAAAAAAAAAATCAAAAGAGCCATTTACATATTTGATGGCACACAACGTCATAAGATATTTACAAAACTTACACATAACATAACAAAAATAAAAGAAGTGTGCCATTAAGTTTTCTTGACTATTCCAAGCAAAAGAACACTTGGAGATTTTCAGTAATTTAGTTCCTTTGCTGTAAAGTGAGTTGTAGCTATATTTCAGATAGACAAAGCTATAAAAAAGACTGCCATAAGCCTGTACAAAAAAAAAAAAATAGTTTTAAGCATACACTGCGGAAAGAATCTACTCCTTTTTTATTCAATTTTCCCCTCTGAATTCAGATAACTGGAAATCTCCAAGAATTTGAAGTAAGTATGAATGGCTAAGCGGATTTAACAACTATGCCTGAAGTTAAATAAATCTGTTAACACTCTGACAAGAAATTGTTATTCATATTTTAGAAAGTAATTCTGTGCAGCCTTGCTAAATTTTAATGTATTTGTAATCGTTAATTATTCTTCTGATAAATTCAATTTCTTTACATTGGATACTATTTAACTATCTCGCCTCTACAATGGAAAATTTAGGTATTTATCCTAATCATTTGGCAATGTTAGAATATTGTTTACTTTTCTTCTGTAAGTAATCTCTTTTCAAGTGGGCAAAGATTTCCATTTTTTCTAGTCTAATTCTGTTTGTGATGATTGAACACCTACACAGAACTTTAAATACTGTTTGCAAAGCGCTCTGAAAATATAATTAACCCTCTTCACCAACTCTTGAGCAGGTAAATATTGTGATTCTTTTAGACGTGAGCAAATAATGTCATTCAGATTTGTTTGCAGCAGTGTAAATCAGGGAAGATCTCAAAGGAATTATTTTAGTAAATAACCAACAAGAAAACTAGAGTACAACTCCGCCAAACTGGGTTTGCAATTTTCAGGAACTCTCTTTAATTATCAGGCCAACCGAGCTGAAACTTTGAACAGTGCTAGCTGCAACTTACCCCAAAACGAACTCTTCCTTTGGCTTAGGCCTTTTCAGTTTTTTGTTCCCACTTGTCCCACTTTGGGAAAAAGCCCAGTTTTCTTCATTCCAGCATCCTTCATGATCTGAGGAGTTGCCTTTTCCTGAGCTTCTTTTACCTGGGATAGGGGGAGAAAATTGTATCTCTTCTTTGGAAAAAGTGTGCCACAACCAAGTGGGCTCACAAGGAACTCGTATACCCTTCCAGTAATGCAACTTCTGATGTGTGACCTTCTTAAAGGGATGTCAAAAAAACGTTGGCTTTTTACTGGATAATGACATTGCTGGCGACGGTTTTTTCCCCCCTATATATGTACTACCTCCAAATTGAGGATCTCCTGAGGTATACAGGAGTGGAAAGGGATGAGTAAACTTACACTAATAAACTTCCCTAAAAATCCAAACATTTTCTCCTTTCCATTTTGACTGCTCCAATTACCCATTTAGATCTACGAATCTGAAAATGCTTTTCAATATATCTCACGGAAAATTACCAAAAATGTCAATCGCAGATTTATCCTTCCACAAAGAAATGGGCTCTCTCTCACCACCCAGAGCAAAACTAACATCCAAAGGGAAAGCACAACACAGGCGCCTTGCCGGACGGAGAACTGCCCTTACAAAACTATGACCCCAAGAGCTGTATATACGGAAACAAACTAATCATTCAGGAATACATAAAGTACAAGTCCTGTAGATAACTTATAAGCAGGTTGACGAATTAACCGACTAAGCCTTTGGTCCAAAAGCTAAATCTCAGGTGAGGAAAGACAAAAAGAGAGAGGTTAAGAGCTTCTGAAACAAGCAGGAATACAGACCGCAGGACTCGAGATGATCTGCCCTGGACCATGGAGCCAAAGCCCCACATGTCTCAGGCAATCAGACACAGAATTCCCATCATGCGCTTCTCAAGCTCCACCTTAAACATCAACTTTTGCTCTTCTTCCCATGCCAGGAAGACTTTTGCAGTTTACGCTGTAAATAAACACGGTCAAAGCCACCCACCTCTGTCCACATTAGCACGCAGAGATGTGAGCATGCCCTCTGACACCAGAGTTTTATAAAGAGCACCTTTGCAAGATCTCTCTGATTTTCTGGAGCCACAGGTTTCTATCTTTTTAACACAGTCACTGTCCTCAGTTTTGACCTGTCCTGGTAAGCTCTGGGGTACCACCTCCTCTGTTGGGGTCAGTGGTTCCACTTTAACGTTATCAGAAGCCTCACAGGGTACTTCCTTGCTGGCTGTAATACTAAGGAAATCAGGAGGCTTTGATTCTTTGGTGGTCTCCGTGGGTTTCTCCTTTGATGTTTTCTTCTCTTTCGATTTCACTTTTTTCTTTGGTGATTTTGTATCCAACAGGCTTCCCTTCACATTTGAGGCAGGGCGGGCTTTTTTGCGGGGAATTTCAGCAAGTCTCTCTGCACCCCAGTCCCCCTTTGCAACAGCTTCAATCGTATACATTACACTTTCAATGTCCGACTCAGAGGACTGCCTCTTTTTACAAGGTTTCTTGGGGGTGGATTTTTCATTTGAGTGCCGGTCCAACTTATTTTTTTTCTTTTTCTTCTTTATTTTTTCCGGCTTGCTTAGCCCAAGGATATTCATGTCAGCCACTGAAAGCTCTGGAGAACGGCACGTGTGATCCTTTGTGCTGTCACTTCTCTCAAAATGACTGCTCTCCATCACAAGACTGGTAAAATGACTGCATTTTGCAGTTTCTGGTTCCTCAGTTTTTGTCTCATCCCAGTCTTGTATCTTCCCTGTCTCTGAGTGTTCTAGTTTTCCTTTACAGGAGTCTCTTATTGTTGTTTTCTCCAGTTCTTCTGCTTCCATTTCGTCTGGAATTTCTCTTGCCACATCCTCTGACGCTTCCATTTTCATTTTCCCAGGTTCTTTCACTTTCACCCCTTCTGAAGCAAGGCACATCTAAAATGAGTTTAAAAACAGTCACCATGAAACAAGCACATCAGCTGTTAACATTACTTACCTATATTTACAGGAGTGCTACACGGGGAATTTCTCTGGAATCCTGTTTTAGCAATGCAAGCTATGCTATAGGACAGTACTCAGGAATACGTTAAAGTCTTACTGAAGCTTATTAAGCTGGATTATGTGGTGAAGTGCTAGAATAAGGCCTGTGGATTCTACCACTCTTAAGAAAAAAAATACTCCAATTGATCTCAGCGGCTTTTCCATGATCCTTTATGTGTCCTTTATATAACCTGGAAACCCATCAGTAGAAAGGTTTTCAGAACACCCTAAGCGCAGCGCAACACCACAGGATCTCTCGCTATTGCCGTGGCCAAGTCACCTGAAATCTCGAATCCACTTCCACAATTCCAAAGTACTCCTATCTACAGTTCTTTCCTCCATCTTCCAAATGACGTTGAAGGGAGGGAGCTAACTGAATCTCAACAATCATTTTCTTATATTTCAACGTGCAAAATAACTTGAAGGGCTGCAAAAAAGCCTTCCAAATCTTTCTTCTTGTGTCACAGACCTATTCTGCAAAGCAGCAGTGGTTGCCATGGTTATCTCCTTCTGGAGAAAACAGTTACAGAAACCCAAACCCTCATGCTGTCTGAGGAACAGCTGTGTTCAGGAAAGCATCTGCAACAAGGACCTCAAATTGCCGTGCTCCTTCAGCACTACCCTGGGAGGGCCACTCAGGTTTGGACTGCTTGTAAGCCATGCTGATGCTGCTAATAAAAGGTAGTACTCGATACCACCAAGCAGCTTCTCTTGGAAAGACATGTTTTCTTCTTATGATTCTCTCTCTACAGCCCTCAAACTGAATTCCCAGTGCTATTTTGTTTTTAAAGCAAACGTCATCCAAACAGCCACTGGAGTGAAACCAGATGAAAGGGGCTTGCTCTGAGCCAGCCGCTCTGGCATCTCCAAATCCCGCTGGTCACCCCATGGGCCATGCGGTTAGCAGGGACGTTCTCGTCAGATCAACGGGTTCTCTTTAGGTCAGTTTTAGACATCTCAAATCAGCAATTATTTGCTTGCAAAAGAGAAGACCTCTTACATCAATACATGCATGAGTATAACAGCAATGACAGGACTCTTTGTAATAAGTTTCTGCAATTCTTGCAGCATGGGGTAGAGATCCCTAGTCTGGCCCAGATGAATCCAGGTTGGGCATGGGAAACACTGGAGTTTGACAGCACAGTTTCATTCTGCAGAGCAGAACTCCACCGCTAAGGTGAGGCGGGTTCTGCTACCAACCTTCCGTTGCTGCGCCTGTGACTTTTCTACCACACTGTCATGTAAACACAACCTGTATTTTTCAAAAGCTAAAGATCAATCTTTATAACGCATAACTCATTGGACAGTAATCACATTTTGTCAGCTACCCCCCCACACGCACACCCACCCACCCCCCATGGATGGTCTCCGCTTTATACCTTTGCTTCTGCTTGCAGTAACAACTAGTACTGAAGGTTCTGAATGTGGCTACAAAAAAAGAGGCTTTGGTTTTGTGAGCTCTAAATAAAATAAAGATAAAATAAAAATAAAATAAAGATCAAATAAAAATGAAATAAAATAAAATAAAATAAAGACTGCAATCGCAGTCTTTATGACTGGAAAAGTTTAAACAAAGCTTAGAAACAAAAGAAACACAAATGTCCATGAGGGGCCACTGGTTTTAACTGATCCCAGAAGAGAAGGAGGATCTGCTGTCAGCCACAAGTTATCATAGCGGAATTTCTATACAAGTTATTGACCTATTTATTCCCCATTTCAATAAAATAATAGGCATGAAAGGCAAAAATAAATCAAAGAGGCTAAAGCCTTTTAACAGATATTTGCAATAGCAATGTCCTAATCTCAGTAACAGATTAATTCAGCCCTTCCTCTGAAAAAAACTAAAAATAACCCACCCTCCCCCCAAAGCCAAAATCTGAAAACAAGGAATTAAAACAATTTAAATGGAAATTGGATAATCCCTTTGCCAGCAGGGACTAGTACTTCTTATCAGCTACAGCATAGGTTCTTAGAGCCTCCAAGTTAATGGCTAGTCTGGGGAAATCTTGACTTGTGGCACCCAAGCCAAGATAATTTATGCTTCTATAAGCAACAAGGTAGTTATAACTAGTATGGTGCTGCCTTCCAGATTTTGGTAGTCAACATCATTAACTTCTTCTCCCTGCTGCACCTGTGGTAATTAGTCACCAGTATTTTAATATTACCTCTGCCAGCTGAAATAATGCTGATGTTCCACACTGCTTTGTTAAATCAGAAGGACCTGAATGGGATGTACTTGAAGAAATCTAAAGAAAAAACAGAGGAGGAGGAAAAAAAGAAAAACATTATTTCACCACTACGGTTCTTTTACGTTTATCATATAGCTTTGAGAAGGATTACTTCCTTCCCCTTACAAGTATTCATTCATAAGATTATACCTTGAAAAAGAAGCATAGACCTGCACTCGCTGTTATAAATGACGCAAAATCCCCACTTCCACCTTCGCTCTGGTAGACAATACCACCGGACCTCAAAAGCTATTTCCGGATTTTGGGTTCTTGTTAGTCAGGTCTCTCTTTGAGGAGAGGACTGAAACGAAGCACATGCTCTCTCACATGTAAAGGGACCCCAGCAGCTTTGTTAAGGCCAGCAGGGCTGCACCCATCCACACCAGCATGCAATCCAGCTCATGCTGTTTCTGCAGGCTTAGTTAGCAGCAAAATCATTTCATTGTCGTGACTTAAGAAGTTTAGTTTTGTCCAGATATAGCACTGGTGTCCTGTAGCTAACATGAAAGATGCCATGAAATCCAAGTGAATTAGGAGCCCTCAAACCTTTGGCAACCTTTGAATACTGCTCCTCAGCAAGGCAAGCAGGTATCTGACTACTCTCTAAGATCCTTTTGCCTCATACCAGACTGTGATCCTTTTCAGTGTGTTTTGTATCAGTAACAAGTTGAATTAGATACAGAGAAATAACCATTTTCTAAACATATTAAAGCATCAACCTCAGGACTGGACATTACTATAAAGCAGAAAATCTCTTTATTTTTATGGACATGTCAGACAATCTCTGAACAGGCTTGCAGGTTTCTTGTAACTCCTTTCTTGGAAAGAGGTGCAGAATTTCAAGGACTGGGGAACTAAAGCATTTATGACTTTTTAGCCTCCTCTTTACCCCACACTCCTTCAGATATTTCTCAACCCACATGGGCCCCAGAATGTCTATTTTGCAGAAATCATCCCATCGTTGCCATAAAGGAAAGAAAGAGAAAAGGTCAAAAATGCTATCTCAGTGTCCTTGGGAAGCTGCAGCTTTTCACAGCATCTCCCAAACACTGCTGAGTACGGTCCAAAGTCTCTCATGAGCTGCTAGTGCTGCTTGTGCTCAGCCACAGAGCAGCCTCCTTGCCTCCTGGAGGTGACGCGCACCCGCTGCAGCCTCCTTTCAGTGTTGCTCCTCCACACCGAGGGCTAAGGACACAGCGTGTGTTTAGGCACAGCAGAAGACTCTGCAGAGCTGATCAGCGACAGCCTTCCAGGCTTCAGACCGCGGAGTGGTTGCTCCAACCATTTATAGAAACGTGGGAGGGGAGAGGGGAGGAAGTAACCTGCTTTTCCTTTTTTTTTTTTTCACCATCTGTGAAATATGGATCGGAGAAAGAAAAGCAGAGGGAAGCGGGGGGGAAAAAAAGCAGGCAGAACTGGTTAATCCATATAATGCAGAGATGAAGGAGAGGCAGAGCAGCGTGGTATGCTGAAGCAGAAATCTTCCAGGGGCTCCGGCGACAGGCTCCCAACGCTGCGGGCCCTTGCCATGCCAGCGGGACAGGAACAGGAGCCCGGTCTCCTCTGGTGCACCCCATCTGCAGTTCTGAGCTACAGTGACGTGCGCAGACGTCTGCCAAATTAACTTGCAATCTCTAAAAGAGTCCGTCAAGGTGATAGGAACTGTTTATTCGGTACGCTCCAAACCAGAGTCTGAACTGCTAATTGAAAAGCTAAGCTGAATCTCTCACATTTCATTCACTCCACTACAATCCAGCATCACTGAGATCTCCAAAAGAAAAAAAAACTAACATACAGCTAGGCATAAGGAGGATGTGCTTCGCATGCCTGCAATGCTTTTGTCATTTTTAAGTCAGAGCTTTTAACCTTCGTTTTGTGCATTAAATTAGGCTGGCAGAAATCCATTTGAGTCATCACTGAGAGCGAGCTCATAGAAACCTGCCTAACATGCAAACGTCTCCCTGCCAGGCTCGGCTTCACTTTTCCCTCCAGCTGCAGTACAAACTCCACACTCCTATGGCCGAGCACTTGGACTTCCCTTCAATTTGGGCCTCTCAAGCTTCCCAGTCACATCAAACTTTTGATACTGACGTTCAAGAGTCCGGCTGGGCTCAGCGACGGCCTTCCTGCAGGGCAGCACTGCTCAAAGCCCCGCGCTGCCCCATAACGCAGGACGCCGGGACAACTCCTCGGGGGTCCCAGCTATGTGTCACTAGCCCTCTCGCTGTCCCGCAGCTGCAACAGGCGAGTCCCCCTACAGCTTGCTGCTCCCAGCTACCTGCAATCCCCCCTGGCACCCACGCTGCTCTGCTGCTGCCTGGGGGCTGCCCAGGGCAAGGCAAATCTGTTCTCCACTCACGCACGTCCCTTTAACGCCTGCCTTCCTGGTAGTGTTACTATCCACGGCACAAGGCAGGAAATACTCAGGCTACAGCCAGGAGAACCTGCGCCGTTCAAAGCACAGGGTTTTCTTCCAGTGCTTGCAATCTCTGGCTTGTTTTCCCGGAGAGGGATTAAGCTCCACAGCAGAACATATGGCTGCACGCCACTAGGTGGGATCCAGGAAAACGTTTTCCTCACTGAAATATGAAGTGGTCTTGAAAGAACAAGCACAAGCAAGTGTGTAAAGAAGGTGCTAACATCCTCCCTTATTTATCTGGAGCTCAGCAAATATTTTCATCTTTCAAGTCATTAAGAGGAATAACATTTGCAGGACAAGCCTCAAAGGTCTGAGTGATTATCCATATCAAAGAGGAAACCACAAATTATATATAAGACTCGCAGCAAGTTCTAGGACTGTTCAGAAAACGTCACCTAATGCTCTCGGCTACTGCTGACAATTGCCAATTTAATTTTGAAACTTAATATACTACTGCAACCTCCATCTCTTTATGAAAAGTCTCCTGATGACTTCAAAATCTACTTTTATCTCCTTATTCTGGGTCTCCCGTTCAGCCATGCACCTTCCAGTCCTTATACTTAAGCCTCATTTTTGAATCCTGATACTCACTTCCTCATGAAAAAAGAATGCCATTGACTCTTGCCTTTGCCACTGTCCTAGGAACTGTTTTTATTATAGTTATAAGGCTAGTTTTTCTGAAAGGAAGCATAACTTTTTCGGTACGGTCTCCAAAAAACTACACGTGTTAACCAGTGCATAAAGGGATGCTCAGTCCCCCAGGCCATTGCAACTGCCTACCTACCTATCTTACTATTCAATTCTTTATTAATTTGTGCTTCCAAAAATAAAAAATCCGATTCTAAAAGAAACCTTACACAGTTCGTACCGTTGGGAAAAAAAACACACGCATCTTCCCATTGTGATGGGAACGGGTATAACTTTACCTCGGCCAACTGGAAGAGTGGTGACTTCCCACAGTGCTTTACTGGCTCAGGACTTGACAACTGGGAAGTATTTGATGAGATCTAGGTTTTAAATGAATAGAAGAGAAAACATTTCAGTGGCAAACAGGAAAGACAGACAGAAAGGGAGAGAAAGAAAAGAAAAGTTAAAGAAAAGGAGTTAGTTACATTAGTCACTTTCAGGATCTTCCTGGCAGAAGGCCCTACTTCAAAAAAGCAATCCTAGCCAAGAAACACTTAACAGGCATTTAGAAGTCTGCAGGATATAAGCAGATACAGAATTTCTTCCTTATACTAGGCTTGTGGATTGTCTTCTCCATTTGTAACCTCCACAGATAATATTCTGCTCATGCAGATTCTCCTGCTTGCTTGCTGTGTTTTACGTGACTTGAACTGAACAGGAAATACCTGTTGTCTAAAAAAATGAACTATGGTGCTCCAGGTTCAATAAAATTCTCCAGAAGGCACAGGCGACATTTCTCATTTGACTAGATACAGAAGAGGACCATTTGTCTGAGCTGGGTGCCTGTTTCGCTTTGTTTCTTTAGTTAAAAAAAAAAAAAAAGAAAAAAGAAAGAAGAAAGAAAGAAATGAAACCCTATGTCTGGAGATCAAATCTAGCTTTTTAAATAGATGCTGGTGTGTCAGACTGTATAAGTAACTGGTGCAGCACTACACAGAAGTGCTTCTATCTGCAGGCTGCTACAGGTAGATGGCAGCCAAGTTGTTCTGGCCTACTTCAGGGGCAGCATCTTGAGTTCACCAGTGCAGCAATTAATCGTGTTTCCCATCCTTGATTTTGTCTGGCATGGCATTCGGAGGTAGTATTTGGCCTGAAAGCCTTGAAAAACTCTTAAGACTAGGGACAAGCCAATCAGTGTTTCCAAGGCATCTTACTCATCACAAGAAGCACACTCAGGACCATCATCTTTTAGAGGTAAAAGTTATCAGCTTAGCTTATTTCTTTATATTATGTCCTTCTCTGAATTAGATTATTTGAACAGCTTACTTTTCAAATGTCAAGCAGATTCATACAAAACAAAGGAACCAAGCATCCATTTTACTGCCAGCTATTTAAAATAAGCTGAATAACATCTGAATGTGTATTGATAATTATTAATATTAAACTAAAATAATCCAAAAATCCTAGCTGTGTTTTGAGATAGGACACTGAACCCTGCCAGGACCCCACTGTAGTAAGTGATTTTGCACATGACACTTGGCAGGATGAGGGCCTTAACTTTTTCTCATTCTACGGTAATACATTCTCAGATCCCAATGATTTCTTCAGAGCAATATCAATAGCAGAAAAGGGTCAGGAAAACACCCACACATTAAAGTATCACCTGAGAACGCGCAGGCATACCTTGCCTTACGGTGCACAGTGCGAGAAAAGAGTGAAGAATTCAGTTTTGACAATAGGATTGGCACTCCTAACAAAATGCAAGCCAGATCCTTGCAATACTAACAGGAAGAGAGAAGCCAACATTTTATTTCAGCAACAAACTCTTTTCTTAGCCAGGGGAATAAAACCCCATGAGGTGCAAGCTTAGAGCTCACTCTGCTGAAGCTGCTGGCTACGCGTCCAAGGTGGGAGGCAGATCAGTCAGCTCTCAGTGAGATTACAGATCTCTTTCTCTGGCTAAACACCGTCGTCTAATTTTAATTGGAATAATCAGTACCTGCATTATCACAATCATAAATAGTCCCTTCTTAGGTAGAGGTTTAACTTAGACCATTACGATCAAGTTACTATCCCTTTTACACTTTTACAATACAGATCAGCATTTTAGCTACTACACTACATTCTAGTTTCTCCAAGAAGCATGTGCCATGGTACCGGCTTTGTACTTTTTTTCCAACAACAGGCATTTCACTTCCAAACAGATCCTAAACAGTTTCAGTATCTACACAAACACCACACAAATTTGCCTATTAATGTAACAGTTCTGCCTGGAAAGATTACAGCTTTAAAGTGAGGTAGGAAGAGGAGATCCTGACCAGATGTCACACCCCCAGTTTCAAGGCATCCTGACCAATGTTCTGCATTCAAACCTTCTGTTCAGCAGAAGGACTAGACCTCTTGGACTAGAGAGGATTATTCCACTTTGTTGCCTGCTGGGTGCTATTGTATTTTCATTAATCACCTAGAAAAAAGCTTCAGAAGTAGCTAAAAGCAAAGAGTTTGGGGGCTTTGGCTTTGTTTTCTTTTTAAGATGGTTAAACTAAATTTCATTGCTGCCACTTTCTGGAAGCATTTTCTTTGCTTAATAAAAGATGAGAGTTTAGCTAAGAAAATCTAAGAGGTACTTGTGATTCTCCTCTACAAAGCAGTCATCAACCATCTGTTTGCGTTTGCCAAACAGACATCCAATAAGACCAGGAGAGCAAGGGGTCCCATCTGCTCTGCTTCCCTCACATGGCACGGAGGATGACAGCAGCCAGCTCATGTGACCAGACAGCTTGCAAACAACCACCACGCTACGCAACACAGCCCACTGCTCCAAAATCACTGCCCTACATAATGGCTTTCCACGAAGCTACAGATGAAAGGGACAAAAGCAGACCAAATATTTGCAAGGTCAGACCAGAATGAAGAAGTCAAGAGCATAACACGGCAACACTCCAGAATTCAAAAAACTCTTATGAGGACTTTACAGCCTCTTGGAAGACCGGTGAACTTGCCTGCACACCCACAGGACCCAAAAAGTCTTACGCCTGGGACTGTAATCATCTGCTGTGGCAAGTCAACACTGGGCAGGCCTTGTTAGTCATATCTTCACCAGCTTTAACTGAAGGCTACGATACTTGAGATAGACAAGCAGACGAAAGGCTAACTGAGGCTCTAAAGACAAAAGAATCCCAAACTATATATAATGAGCTGTTTCTGAGTGACAGGGGACCGTACTCCCAGGGTAAAGGCTGTCCATTTTAGGCTGTTTCAAGTGACACATCTACTCAATGGGATTACTGTCTTCACAAAGAACCACATTTATTCATCCTGCTACGATGGGCGGTAAGAGAAAGGGAACATATGAAGAACACCCAGGCAGAACAAAAAATTAGTTGGGATGGCTGCCAAAAGTCTCCAGGCGCACCAGACCACAGCACAATTCACATTATATCACAGGTCTGCTTGGCTACTGGTTAAATAACTACTTTATCCCTCTCCCTCTTTTCTTTTATAGCTCTGCATATTGCTGACTGCAGCCTACTGCAAATTCCTTACCATAATTTAGCTCACTAAATGCAGCATTGCATTCATACAGACAGGACCCAGTAAGAAGTGGCACAGAAAGGAATGGGATTTTTGCCAAACACGGCAAAGACGCCCTGTGCACATGGAAGCCCCTGTATTAGAAAGAGCACAAGCAGCTTTAATAGCAACAAGAAAGGCTTAAAAGAGGTTCCGTAGCATGCTCAGTATTTTTCCCCGGAACAACCTAAATGAAATCATGCTGCAGTCTTAGAAAAATACCACTTCTCTAATGCTTTGGATAAAACAAGATGTTAGTCACCGCCATTCGATTTTAACAACAACATCATAACACAGGAGGAATAACCATGACCAACAAGTTCCTCTGGTTTTTTTTGGCCTGTCCAGATTTCCGTCCCTCTGTTCCAGATACTGAAAGAACGACCAAAAAAATCCAACTCACTCCTGACTGCACATACATTTTACTATTTTTAACAGGAAGAGATTAATCCCGAATTTAAAATTGTCCTCACCATTTTCAAATGAACTTTCTAAGCACCTCTTTCCCCCAACTTTTGATGATTCATACGTGCACTCGATGGGCCAAACAAGCTGGCTCAGCATAGTAGGTACACGGCTCAACGCGCTGTCACATGCTTATGACAATTTTTGGGTTTGCTGTTTTGTTCGTTTGCTCATTTAGCACAGGAACAGGCTGTAGGTTCTGTGAAATTTGGAAGGTATGGCTGAGTCAAGTTTACGAGGTGATTTGAAAATACTGCACTAAAGGCAGCTCATACCCTGTTCAACTCTGCAGATAGCTAGAAGTGCTGTTTAGTTACAATGCATGATGGCTAAGGTTTTCAAAACTAAATTAGAAGATTCAGTTATGTAAGATTTTGTGGTAAAATTCTCTATAAAATGTTCTCTAGCTTATATCCTTTACTTGCTTTAAAAGGTTGGTTTCAGCCTATAGTTTCATCTTGCTAAATTCCATTCATTTTTTCTCAAAAGAACTTTCCAATTTAACTTGTAACTTTAAAAAAGGTGGCACATGTGAAGACAGCTTCACGATTCCAGCTAACAATTGCAGTTACCAATTCCATTGTATCTTTTACAGGAATGTTTCTATTCATGTATTTTATAGCTTCTGCATCTGTAAATTATTATTTCTCAACTGGATCTCATGAGAAACACATGAAGACATCCTTGACAAGGTAAAAACACACAGTATACAATTAGCTTGAAATTTAACAGGAGGAAGCAGGTTGTTTGTAGTCAAACCTCTGTAAACACAAGGAATAATGAACAGGGTGTCATTTCATCCCAAAACACACCCCCAGAGTGGCACCAGCTCCAAGCCCAGTTCTTTCAGGCATAGCCTGAACATTCCCTCAATGTCAGTGGCTCTACAAGCAGTACCAGACTCCCCCAACTGGGCAAGGAGAGAATGTGTGTGGAAAATCAATTCATAGAGGCACACTAAACACATAGGAGAAGGAAATTCTTAAAAGTAATCTGTAAGAACCCCAAAATTTCATTATATGGAGGAAGGAGGATAATGCACATAGTTAAGAGTAATTTGTAGACTTTATAGGTCACTAACTAATGATGCTGTTATATATCCTTGTAGCTGTTGCGATATGCTTCTTTTGCCCTGCAAGTTTATTTTTCAAAGGATTCCTGCCTCTAGAGTAGTTGTCCTTTTCCACTCCTGCAGCCTTTTACATAGGCAGTACATAATGTCATCCAACAGCGTCCTTCACTTCTTTTCCTAGATGTAAATTAAAAGGCTATTTGGAAAAAAGAGTCTGCAGCTGTCCTTTGCTATGGAGGGCCAGGTAACGTTCACAAGCCCAATGCCTTCTGTGTATGCTACAGCTGGTAGAGCTCACCAATATCTCTTCACATCAATGGTCACTTCCCTCAGGATTTTCTTAAAACAATGCTGTCATGAAGATGGACATCTACAGATGTTTTTTTCTACTGAGGGGAACCTTTATGAGACAGAGTGCTCCGCCATTCAGTGGCAACTCTTCTTGCTTCCTCCCATCCCCCCCAAACATATTGTAGCTATTATACCTCCGCAAACTGAAACAATGCAGACTCCTCAGTTTGTTTTACAGCCACCGGGACATCTGGCTGTGATGTGCTTGAAGAGATCTGTCAGGAAAACAATTATTTTTGTATTAATTATCTCTTCAGTTTCAATATCAAACTTCAACATGCTACATTTCTGATCTCTTGTACAGGGATCAGACTCCTGGTACCTAAACACCACGCACATGAGTCCCAGCATGTCCATACAAAGAACAATATCTGTTTTCTCAGAAGACAAGTAAATGTTGATCTGTGAAAAGTACTTGAATTATTTTTCACAATGAAAATCTGTCCTAAGATCAGTATAACAGGCTGACCTTTTTAAAGGTCTTTTACTTGTCCGCTGATATGCCAGAGGAGGGATAGCAACAAAAACTTAACACCATGCTGTATTTCACATTTCAGTGAAAGAGCTGACTGCAGCATGGTAGTGCGGACAGAGCACAAATTGCTGCTTGGTATGGAAGATGTGCAGACACAGGAACAACATCTGCACATACTTTAAAAAGAGATATCAGATCTATCCCAGGCACTGAATTATGCAGGGAACTGCATTTTATACTGTTTAACTTGTTTCAGTTCTTTTTGTTGCAAATGACACTTTGGATTAATGTTAGATTTAGGTACTAACTATTTTTCTACTGACATGTGTACCTACTACCTACTGATTAGGTGCAGCCTCACTACGAGCTGTTTAATTTCCTTGGGAAATGAGACAAACTAGCTACTATGCATTTCTAACTACTAATCATCACTGAGCTACTTCCAAAATGTGCGTTTAGTGATGCAGATGGACTTGTTTCCTGGCACCCATCAAAGTCCTTGCTTGATGGGTAAGGAGAAGCTGGAAGCTTCTTAGCATGAGCCTAACCTGCAGCTCACAACATAATTTCTGCCTACTATCACATGACTGGTGCTTTCCTGCACAGGCACTGTAAAATGAAGTCAAACACTAAGTGAGTTGGGATTTATCTAACTAGTTGAAAGACTTAGCAGTAAAATTCAAGAAACAGGTCATTATCAAAAGGAAATGCATAAAATATTAAATTGCTCCATTGACACTATACAAAAATACTTTAGAAATACTTTAAGTTGGTTAATTCCAGCGTCATTTATGATACTCCTGTGGTGATAATTCACCACCCTAGTATGTGTATTGCGACTTTAATTATTTAGACTCTCTAGTTAAAAGCTAAGTGCTAAGGAATGACAGATCTCTAAATTACTGCTTAAACCATGGCTCCACTATTTTGCCAGGGTTTCAACTATGTGCCAAAACACACTCTCTTGCACTTGAAGTCTGACTTATCTACCTGGCAAATGATCCAGTATCATAAACCAAAAAAAGGGAAACAAATAAAATCACAAATTTTAGTTGAACAGCTTTGATTTCTCTTTCAGCTAAAGATCAGATGCTTCTAAAAAAAAAAGCAAGGGGGGAACAACGCCTTTTGAAGAAACTCACCTCTGCAAACTGAAACAATGATGACTTCTGACAGGCTTCTGTAGAATTAGTCGCATCAGACTGGCAAGTACTTGAGGAAACCTGAAACAAGGGGTGCAGAGAATAAGACCTCAAGGGGGTTTCTTTCAAGCTAAGAACAACATCAGGCAAAATGAAATACCAAGCAGCAACCACAAGCAGCAGTGTTTAACAGAAGATGGACAATCTACTGTTTCACAGTCCAGGACAGGTTGAATTAATTCAGAAGGTGAAAACATAATTTTGCATCCATTTGAATGCATCTGACAATCATCTAGAAACAAAGAGGGTGAAAATATCAGGGATTGCTTTTTATTCCAAACTTTGCAAAAGAGTTTTATGCAATAACATAGGAAACTGATGATCTTTGAGCTACATATACACCTACCTTGTATTGGTGATGCTATCAATACTGCTACATCTGTATTTTATACTTTCATTTTGAAGCAGAAAATTGATTACTTACATGACAAAAAAGAAAGTTTTCAAAAACACTGATGACTGCTAAGCGACAAAAATATTTACCAAAAAAAAAATCTCTAATCACCTAACAGCAAGAAAATAAGTAGTTAAGGGCATCACAAGCCTAAAAGTGCTAGAATAATGTACATGAATATATGGTTTAGGGGTGCTTACAAGAAGCAATGCGAGAAAAAGTCACTTAAAACTTCTGAAATCAAAATGCAAAGAAATGACTGGGCAAAAGCAACACCCCTATTCAAATTCAGACAAAACTAAGGTATACTATTATTAGATAAAAATGTGTTACTCAAGCATCCCTCTTAAAGGAGTTATATTAAATAGGAGATATTTATGAAATGTGACATTTGGGTGTAAAACATTTACATATGTGACTTGTAGAAGCATGAAGTACTGCTAATAAGGCACATAAGATGACTTACAGGCAACACGAAAGGAAGAAGACTTTGTGGGATTTTAGGATAACAAAAAAAGTTAAATAATAGGATATATTTTCTTCCCATAATGTTTTTAGTCTTCTATGCAATTTCAGGTTATTTAAAGTATTTCAATGCAAATGTGGCTTTTATCTTTTTTGTTACCAGAACACGCATGTCACTAGCATTTATTAGTGAATGCAAGCATGAGATTTAGCTAGCAACTCCATCTGATGCCTGTAAGCACAGGCACCACAGAATAACCAGGCCTACAGCACATATAGTTTGTACCGTTGTTCCTGCTGCTGCTTGTCCCGGACGACTATGCCCTGCAGCAGTGCAAGTGGTATTTCCATTTCAGAAATCTGCTGCCCAGGATCCCCATGTTCCCCATAAAACACTAGATGCAATTCCCACGCCAAGGAGAAATACACTACAGGACAATTTGCTGACGTAAACAGTTAAATTTGTTTTCTCCTTGCCAAACAACCAAAGAGTAACAACAGTACCTACTATAATCAATGCTTTCACTACATTTATTAAACATTGAGCAGGATGCTTTAAGGGTATACTGCAGAAGTGTACCAACACAAGGCGTTAAAATGATCAAAGAATGCACATTTCTGATGCCTGAGTTTTGTGTTTTTAATCGTTTGTGCTACTGTTTTCATTGATTTAATGCCTTTACTACTGCTTTTTTCACGGTCATGTATTAACTGCTTAAAACTTCTGTGACTCGGCAACAGTGTTGGGTTGTACCAGAGATGCATACCCACTTTTCTGCCTCTGAAGGTCTGAACCTCTGCACTGCTGTGAAATACGTGAGGGTGCTGCTTGCACATCTGTGCATTCCTTTGGTGCATTTCAGGCCACTTCACTGGTGGGATTTTTCTCAGAAGTGAGAGCACTTGGGGTTCGACTCCCCACATAAACCACATTTTATGAAGTTCTGTGTGACTGTGTGAACACGGACCCCAGCCGGCACAGTACAGACCAGCTCTGATTTGGAAGCTATTGACCTGCGTTGCCCCAGAAGCATCGTGCTTGAGCTAAGCAGCCCTCCTGAGAGTGATTATTACGGCTAAGCCTCTGCAACACAAGAGCTGTAAACACACTCGCCGCCCAGGAAGGCAGACAGAGGGAGGACATGTCTTTTCATTGCATCTGGAGCCGTGTGTGCTGGGGTCAGGCAGGACTTGTTCATGTTATGGAATGGGAACCACAAGCCATGGAATGAGTGTAGCCCTGTTTCCTACAGCTTTGTGTTTAAAGGATGGATTTTTGGTGTCTAGGAAGTCACAAACTCAGAGGCTCTTTGGGGGTGAGAACAATCACACATTTTATATCAATTTCTAGTATCTTAAAAAAGTTAATGTTGTTGCCTTTGCTTGATAGAAACACTAACTGGAACTTGTTTCTTCAACCCAACCCCACCTTCCCAACTTGTAGGAAATTTATTATCTCCAAAACTCTAGCCTCTGCCAAGATCAAGCTGACCAAAGTGTTAAAATAATTACTGGAGGGAACGGATGGGCAGACAGTGCCATTGCGTATGTGTCATCTCCTGCTGTAATAAAAGTCCTCAACATTTCATGATTTCTTCCCTTACTCCCAGCATATCAGCAGCTACACTGAAAGAATTTTCATTTCTGCTTTGCACCCCAGATGATACCACTCTGCGTAGGCCCTGGGTAACGTGGCACCATACGCAAGATAACCTTTCATTCCTAAAGGGAAGGAAACTACGAAGACGTTGCCTCTGTATCCTCACTTTCCCTCGCAGTTTATTATAACCTCCTTTAAAGTGAACAGACAAGAACAAAGATAAAAGACATCATCTGGAACATGTGGTAAAAGAGCCTGGATTTGGACTACAGTACTATTTAGGGATTTTCTGGGAAGTAACTTATTGAGACCACTAGGTGTTGCTGTAAGGCAAGCAAAAGCCATTATTGGCAAGGTAAGGGCAAGTAACCAGGGAGGTGAGCTTGAAAGTTAAGGAGGACTGATTCCTCATGCAGTTTCAGGTTTTCTTCTCATAAAACAGTTGTAATAAAGTGAAAGGATCGGGCTTTGCCTAGTGCAACGAAAATATTAAGAAGAGACATGCTAACTGTTTCTGTTCAGGGGTTTAACAACAGATGCTCATGTTTGCATCACCATTTTGCATAACTGATGGAAGTAGTCAAATGCCAAGGGAAAATTAATTGCTTAACTAAATCATTTGTTTATTGGTGCTAAGGTTTTCAACTTTTCCTGCCTACCTGCTTAATAACTCAAGCTGTTGTTTGGAAATCAATCACGTACCAACATGACTACTAGAAGAAAAATTCTGTAGTCTATTGAAAAAGTTACAAGAACAGGAATGTAACCAGCAGCATACAGAAATGGGGACTGAAATAGCAGAGCAATTCTGTAAATATCGCTATTGTGCCTCTTTTTTCCCTTCTCGCGCTGATGCATGCTCATGCTGGCACCTGACATTTGCAGTTCTAACAGCTATAAGTAACACATGACTTTAAAAGTCCCCATACATCCATTTAACATACACTTAACAGAAAATCAGTGGGTGCTGAATAAATTTACTTGGCATTAGCAGACCTGTTACATAAGTATCATTTTCCTCACCTTCTCTAAGTTCTTAATAAACTATGCTGGTATTCTTCATAAACTATACTAGTAGCTGCCCTGCTTTAATTAACAATTTTTTAAAGATGATAACAGCATTTCAAAACCTATGCTTATTCAAACTAAATGTTGAACTTATTCATTGATACTGTATCAATAGTTACCTTAGTACACCAAAGGCCTCAATATTCTCCACAATGCCAATACTAGCTTTAATGTAACACAATTTAAAACTGTCCATTGTAGAGGAAAGAATCTTATCAATTCTACAAATTCGCAGAACTCATAATCCGAATATTTGAAGTTTTCTGAGTTAGCCTGTCATACCATCTCCTAGAATGTGCTGCTGTGACACTTAGGTGCCTCTCAGATAAGAATGCTAAATTCCAGTGCTTACTGCCTCACCAGCAGGACTACTGAAATATAATTCACCAGTAAGGGCTAATTTCTGGCCCACCATGATACTTGGCAACAGCCAACAGATCCCTCCACCAGATTTGTTCAGGCTGTATATATGAAAATTATTTTGCTTTACATTTTTGGTGAAAGCCGATTTCTTTGATGTGGAGGGCCAGATTTCAAAAGAGAACCACAGAGTGGCTGTGTTTGCAAAACACCTGTTTTTAACAGTCACTGTATTCCAACTCTCCTATCTGTGATAGTATCATTACATCGAGCAGACGTGCATGGTTTGATTATACATTAATCGGTCACTGGAGTTAATGTAGAAGCGATGTCAAAACCAGGCCCAGCATCTACATACATGGTTGGAATATGAGGCTCGCATCTGGGTGGCACCTGAGGTTACCTAAGATACGTACTGAACTTCATTTCCAGCTTGTCAAATACTTCTTTTCAGGGCTGTTAGTAACTGAGGGCTTGCGGTGAGGGAGAAAAGATAGTTCCTTACCTCTTGTGCAGTCAGGGCATGTTCCCCTGCTAAAAGCAGCATACTCAGGCCTCCCATTTGCGTAGGATCTGTTCAAGAGTAAAACCAAGTTAGCTGATTCATTTGTTTGCTGAAAGAACCTATCATTTGCAGTGCTAAACCCCCAAAAGGCTCCTTCTCACAGATACTCTAAGCAAGCTGCCATAAAAGCCAATTCAAGAGAATCGCAAATAACCATTTCTGTACCCTCTGGGAGAGGCTCTCAAAGCTGTTTGAAGGATTTAATTGGATTTGTGTGCTTAACACCCCATTGTGTGGATTTACAATTTTACCGCCAAAGGTTTTATGTACTACAGAGACCGATATCTTTAAAACAGCAACTGTAATGATCTCATACATAAATATACACAAAGATGCTCTAATATCACAAATGTTTATAAGTCAAAGGATGCTTCTTCCAAGGGAGCAGTCCCTTCCCTTAGCCGCTGAACAAGTAAAGGGATGGAAGAAAATGACGTGATCAAGTTTTGAAGTAAATTTTCTGTTTTCATTTAGCTTTAATTTAGAGCTGCATTTAGTAGTGAAGACTGCTAGCCTGACAGCTCTGAAGTATGAAGCGCTTTCTTCACTGTGCCAGGACAGCACAGGCATTGGCCAGGCAATCTGCCTGCCTACATGCTGCCTTGCCAGTACGATACATACTTGAAGAAAGTAAAACGGAGACATAAACGTTCTTTCTCCAAGTATTTGATTCTGATGGTTTCCAGCCTCCAGCCCTCCTGCACCTCAGCAGCTTTGAAAATGACAACAAAAAGTGAAAGCAATGAACGCTGACACGGCATTACTCATGGAGTGGCTTTTCCAGACACCTCAAAATACTTGGCTGTTCTTCATCGTTATGAAGACTAATTGTCTGATTTTGGGGGAGTGCCTTGGAAGCAATGCAGGCTCCCAGTTAAACAAAGTGCCGTGGAGAGAGGAGGAGACAACCTGCGGCCCAGGCGTCTCACGCAGCAGGCACGGCGTGAGAGAAAGGAAAGCATTATCCTTGCTGTACTGCTAAAGACACCCAGGTACAAAAAGATAAGCAACTTTGCCAGGTCTCATTAAGCCTGCCCTCACATTTTCCACTTTCCAGATCTCCATTCACTGAACTACACAGAAACTATCTTGACAACAATAAACTACACTTGCCCAGGACCACCTCTCTGGAATGGAGGCCAACTGGCCAAATCACCCTTGTCTATTTAGTTAAATTTTGTTACCCTCTTTAATACAATAGCTGCATCCAGAATGCCTACTGGGAATTTCCCTGGCCCATTCCAACTCATGAACTGTGTCTAGGAATTTCTGGGGAGAGTGTCAGCTCATCCACTAACTCAAGGATAGAGGAGCAGCTCACTGTCTTCTTATACTCCCTAGACAGTATCTGGCTTCAAAACCAATGTTCAGCTATAATTCATGTTTCCCTTTATTGTAATAAACAGTTAGAAAGGTGGGGTTTTTTTTTTACTTTTTATTTTTTAAATTTAAAAAGGGAACAAAAGTTACTATGCTTCCACAAAGAGGCAATGCACTAACAAAAGTGTAGGACCTAGTAACAAGAAGCGACTGAAGAAACAGAGCTAGAAGATGGGAAGGATCAGAAAATAACTAAGCACAATTCATAAGTGAAATGATCCTGTCAGAACAGCACTCTTACCTTCAAAGTACTTGATTAGCAACAGTTCTGTCCTTCAGAAAAGAGGAAGTCAGAGCAATTGAAAAGTGAACAGGTACCTTGAAGGAAAATGACTGAATACACATTTCACTCGGAGGAATGAGACACCTCCAGGCCCATCAAAAGCTTACTGAGCTCCATAGGAAACATTTAGGGTTTGGCTGGTTGCTTTCTACTTTATCCAGTCCCACTGTAAGACAGCTGCATAACCTAAATCCTCTAAGTACTAAGAGCTTTCTTCTAACCTTTCAGCTTAAATTTACTCAGAGTCCAGTGGTACACATTTGTACTGGTACCCACACCTAGCAAAAGCCAATCAAGATCTTCTGAAGTTGCCATGCATATTTGTCTCCAGTCATCCTAATCACTCCTGTAGCTCTCCTCCATAGTTACTCCAGGTGGAGCTCCTCTGGCTTGCACATGAACGATCAGATCCGCAGGCACTCCGGATGAGTTCTCACCTGTGCTCTGTTCAGTGGCATCCATTCTTTTCTATAGTTTCTGGAAATACTTTGCCTGATACTGCAGTATAGCACCTTCCTACGCCCACATATTCAAGGCTCATAACCTTCTTGTGATTGACCAGTTATCTTTAGGTCCTTCTCCTCAGTTTTTTGCCAACTGGAGAGCACTCAGCTCATGGCTTGAAAATTTTCCCTCCCACTTCTAAGTGTCTTCTTTGTGAAATAGGTCTCTGTTTTCTCCCCTTCAAATAAGTAGCTTTTAATTACAGGATAAAGCTAGGATTTCTCTCTTTTTTTTTTTTTTTAAAGTAAGTGAAGTTTCAACAGATACTTAAACCATTTATTTAAAAATAAAAATCAAGAGGAAGAAAAAAATGATAGCTTAGTGGAAAGTGAAAGTTTAATTTGGTGCTTAAACAACTCAAGAACACTTATGCTGCAGCTGTAGCAGAGGGCTGGCACTTAGATGTCTGATCTTGACAAAAAACAAAAATCCTCCCACTAAGGTTTCAAATTACGAAATAAAGGAAAACAACATGTATATATTCCAACACTGCCATATGTTTATAGCATCTTCTAAGCACAATTATGTTTCTCTAATGGCACTAAGAACGTACGAGTGTGAATAATTTAGAATTCTAAGTGTTATTTTAAAGTTGTTTACAGGTAAATCAACAGTAAAGAGAAAATAAGACACATATTTGATGTGTAGAACGGGAGATGATTTGTGACTTTTTCAACTGCTTGTAATACTGATTGAACTTACAACCACCTCGCTACTTGGGAACAACATCTTTTGTTAGTATTAGACTAGCCAGAAACTCAGCTGGCTGGCTGACGTTATAGCAATTTTTATATCAGAGGAAAGTAAGATCTGGGGAAGAACTGAACAAAAAGAAGGCTGGCAGGCACCAGTTTCAACTAAGTTTTGGCTGGGTTTAGAATTAAGCTTTTTCTAAAAACAAAAACTGTATCTCTATCGGGATATTGGCTGTTCTATGTGGTGTCTTCCTCCACCTTATTTTCATGACTAAAAGCTTTTTTGACTCAGCTGGTTTTCTGCTGATGCTGAAATGTGAAAGTACTGGAAATCCTGCACACTGGTACAGGAAAACTATGGCTCACTTAGCTCTGTAGCTGTGAGAGGAGATGCTGCGAGGGACTTGTTAACCTGAGAACAGTGGTCGTCTTTGCCTCCTGCCCTACAACAGAGCATAGGTGAGCCATGTCATAAACAACATGCTCAATTGCAATGTCCAGGCTGGACAAACAAGGATGCTGGTGCTTCTGCAGGTCAGCAGCCCAGCGCCGGTGCCACACCTCAGGTCTTGATAAAATGATAGGTCAACATGAGAAAGTTGAAAGAAAAAGTGGTATGGTTACTGTTAGAACGCCAAAAAATAAAGGAGAGGCAAGACCTGTGTGATACTTCTATGAAAGGAAAGGAAGATTTTTACTCTACATGTAATTTTCCAAAATGAAATATAACATATAAGAAAAAATTAAGAGAATGTTTGCAATTGCTAACAAGTAAAATGGATTTCCTGGACTGATTCTGGAACGATGCATTCCCTGTCCTAAGGAAGCTGCCTGCCTTGAAGATGCAAGATATTTGGAGCGTTTCAAAAGTAAAGGCGTTTCTACGGTTGTTCAGCTACTTTTTAGTTCAGTAGCTATATGCAGCCTGGACTTTAAAAGAGGTTATGCTGGACAGAACAGTAGGACTTGAACTGAGTTATTGTGCAGGGCAGGGGGGGAAAGAACACAACAAAACATATTTACCATCGACCGGTGCACAGCTGACCAAATAGCAGCGTATTTGGCATGGGGGACTGGTCACAGTCAGCAGTTCAGAAGCTGCTAACTTCTCTATCAGGAGTTATTGTTATTTTACGGGCTACTGCTTTACTCGTGAAACAGCCGACCTTCATCGGCATAAGGACGGGAGTGAGACCCCTGAGCGTTACTACACTCATTGACTCGGTCTGCGGTAAAAAGCTGGTAAGTAACAGAAACAGGGCCATCTTCTGAAATGAACGGCTCTATGGATAAAGCAACGGACTAGAAATCAAGGGTGACAAAAATATCCAAGTGGAACCTGATGAGAGCTTGCTTTCAGGTTTCTGTCCTCCACTCTTACAGGTGTTGATCAGAGATCTCTCCGTAACAGGGAAGTCCACAGCTGGGCAGGGCCCCAGGAGAGCTGGGGATGGCACCCGGGCAGAATAAGACTTACTACTTGCTCCTTGCGTCAAGTCAAAACACCTTTAAGGAGCATTAAAGTTATTGCTCTGACAGCAAAAGCAGAACGGGATGAAGAGACTAGCGATTTTCAGAAGCGGTCTCCTACGCATCATAACTCTGTAGCATGAAAACCTTCATTTTGAATTACATTTCACAGTTCCTTCATGCCCAGGAGGAATTTCATTACAGGAATTTTCATACCGCTAAACTGGCAAAAAACATATACAAGCCTTTTTATCCTTTTACACTTGCTCCATAAAAACATTTTCCACACTCTAGCTCAGGAACCCTCTAGGCAGAAAAAGTCTTATATGCCACACACTTGCCATAAGCTAGGTAGGATACAACAAAGTTTCAAATACATCAATAATTTATAAAATGAGAAACAAAAAAGAAAAAAAGAAAGAACAGGGCAGAGAGGGAAGAGAAAATTACTTTCTACCTTGCATCTCAGCTTTTTAAGCTGCCTACGTTTAAGCACATTAATATCTCTGTATTTCAGGGTCATGATTGTGATAGTTTGCTATGTCTGCCGCATCAGTGAAAGTGAGAGATAATCTGCCTTTTGAGCAAGTACAGGCTCTCCAACTACACTGACTTTCTTTTTTTTTTTTAATATTTAAAAGGTTGGAACCCCTCTCCCCCCACATAATGGGAGAAAGAGTAAATTTGGGGGAAAATTAAATTATGTTTATTTTGATTTAAATATAAAAGGTACTTTCATCTACGGGAACATCAATACCTCCAACTTTATAGACAACCATAAATTATTTTGTATACAGCAAGTTGCTAAACGTAGGTCGATGCTTCAGGAAAATGAATGCACACAGTCAGCACTATCCTTGGACTAGAAAATGAAAATGTCTAGTTCTAACAGTAGATAAGCCTAAGCTAAAGATAAATCAAATCTGGACCCCAAACGGCTACATTTTAAAAGATGCCACATATCTGGACCCAATCCTAAAAAGCAATCACGCACTTAAACTCAGTCCTGAGAAAAATGTTACACATCTGTTATGTACAGGCTTAAGAATAGTCTTGGCAACTTAATTTCGGGACATGAAAGGTATTTACACTCTATTACCATCTGTAATAAGGAAAATTGGTCTTGCAATTCAATCTACAAGCCACAGCCTCGAAAAAACCAGGATGCTCCGTGCAAGAAACAAGGCTGGAAATCTCACCTGCCATTCCGAAGTTAAGCTGTGGCATTTCTTCACTTTTTGCCACTTTTCTGGGGCTTGGTAAATCTTTTGCAGAGTCTGAAGAAAAAGCCCACAGTTTTTTCCTGTTTGTAACAGTGGACGTCTGGGTTTTCACAGGTTTGTTTGTTGTAGGGCACCACTTGTACCCTGGATTTGCCTTCATAAATGCATCCTTGTACTAGAAAAGAAAAGGAAAATCATCAGTCAGGCCAGTCAGAGTATTTTACTACCTGTAGGGCAATGGAGTGCACTGTTTGTGAGAAGGTTTAATTCAGTATCTGATTTTTAAATATTTTGATTTTCTAACAGTGTTTTAATGATGTATTGCAGTCTGACCACCAACAACCTAACATGAAGAAATATTAAGGTAAGAAAAGTTGCATTTAAAACAGTAGGGTTTCTCTTCCACCTTTTCTGGGTGGAAAGAACAGGCTTTCCATCCAGAGCAGGCTTAAGTCCTGATCCTGCAAACTGCTCCCCAGTGCTTGTATGGTGCTCCCTGTCTAGGAGCCACAGAAGATTTACATTCTTTTGCAGGTACAATCTTTGTTTGTGTTCTGGCTTCTGAAAACATTCATTTGGCAATAAATTAGCAGAATGCTCCTTATCCTGCATTCATTTTGTATACTTTAGAATATTTGAGTTATATTCTTTCCTAAACCTTGCATACTCCTTAGAAAATAAACAGCTACCAGTATCATCTCATTTTCAGTGACTTCTGAGAGGTCATCATCCCAGCCTTCCTTCCAAAATTTATCATGCTGCATGGCAGCAATAAAACAAGCCGGGACCATTTAAAACTTTCTTTGGCCTTGAGCATACACAGCACACATCTTCGTTGCTTGGTACATTCTTGGCATGAGGCAGCAAAACAACTTAAGCCAGACTAAACACAGAGGGGAAAAATCCCTCTGGATTCTACATAGTTTGGTAGGGGGGAAAGGGAATCTATTTTTTTTTTTCCTCAAAACTTGCCAGTGACATTTTCCAAGTACGTTGCTGACTGGATAGTAAAGACCTCTGAATGTCAGTAGCAATAAAAAGAGTGCGTTTCAGTATTTTGGATTTGTTACGCTGCAAGGTACCAAAGGGAAGATTCAAAGGAAGACCGAATTTGCATTCCAGCTGCAGATGCTTGTCCAACAACTGATATAGATTCAGAGCCCTCCTTTCTGCAGGAGGCTCCCAAGAAGAAACCCTGCTCACAGCTGGGAGAAGCAACCGGACACCTTCTCACTCATTAGGTAGTTCTTGGCAGAGGCAGATGGCTGAAAGAGCAGTTTTATCCTGAACTGCAGGGCAGGGCAGCGATTACACGTGCTCCCAGCTGCCATCACGCCCAGGCTTTTGTTATACAAAAACACATATGCTTCATACACACGCGTGTGCAGAAACACATACACAGGGAAAAAAAAAATCCCGTGGGTACCAAAGAATACAGGAGATAGCAGTCTGCAAACCTTGTCCTCTAATAGAGTTACTGCAGTGTTTTCCCAGGTCAGCACTCCTCTGACTTGGAAGCGCTGGCATGCCTGGTGGCCGGATCATCATCGCATCTGCATCTCTTTTACTTTCATTTCCACCTTAATCTATCTGCTGTTAGTTACTTTCTACTTCCAGACTGCAGCAAGGCTAAAAATGCTTCCTTTTCCAAGAAGCACAGCACTGTGTGAACCCGCTGTGCGAAGCCCTGTATTTATAGAAATGGTTATAAATAATAAAAATCTGTAGGGACTGCCGACCCATCTACTCACTGTGTTTTCTGAACAGGGCATAGGTATTAAACGGGCAAACTAAGGACTGTGACACCTCTCACCTCCCCCCTTTTCCTCTGTTTTGTTTGGGAGTTCATTTCACCAGTGAATGCACACCACAAAAATAGCTTCACAGAGGGAAGGGAAGGGGAGGGCACCAGGGAAGAGGTGGAAAGGAAACCCACAAAGCAACAGCTTTGCCTTCCATTGTTAAAGCAACAGCCCACTCATGAATCATGTTTCCAGCCTACAGAGTTAAAAGCCCAGGATCTCCAGCAATGAAGTACGTAAGCTCTTCCTATCAGCGTTGCTGCTCCGAATAATTGAATTATTCCATGGATTAATTTGACAATCCAACGGGCTGCCCATCAAATGAGAACCATAATGCATGCCATTTGTAAGACGAGGCGGTGATAAGCTTTTAATCACTTTCCTACAAGAGCAGTTCAAGTGAGGTGGTGTATTAATGGAATTTTTCCTCTGCAAAGCCAAGAATTTAACATTAACTATGCTCTCCAAAGCAGAGGGAGGAAATACAGGGAAGACAACTTCTTGGCTCCTTCAGGCTTCTTTCAAAATTTCAGCACTTGAGCTACATGAAAAAAAAAAAAAGTCTGAAAAGTTAAACAGTGGCCAAGAAGTGGTTTCATAAAATGCATACAGGGGCCTGATGCAAATTTCAGAAAGACTTCCAATATTGATTTGCATGTCTATTAGACCAATGCCTAAAATGAAGAGATAGGTTCTAATTGCCAGGTCATGAGAAGATAACTTAAATGGGCTCCACTAATAGGAAAAAGCCAAAGGCAGTTGTGGAGCTTACTGTTTTCCTCCATTCAATCAGCTGTGCCGTAAGCCAATTTAACAAAGTCAGCCTAAGGAAGTCTCTAAAGTCACTTAAAAAAAGAAAGAAAGAAAAAAAGAGTAACATGTTTATCCTGAAATATAAAGACATCATCTTCATTTCCATGCAGAGCAGGGCATGGCAGCCTCTTCAGGACCATCCTGCAGGACCAGGCCTTGCAATTCCAAGCAATATAAATGTTTGTGAGATCAGTTTGATGCATCATTTCCATTTTGTGAACGCGTGGGGAAGGATGCATTACGTGAAAAGACCAGGGTGACCAGAGCTGAGGTTAAAAGAGGTGCTGCACTTAAGTGTAACTCCCCGAGTTCCTTTCGTCACCAAATAAAAAAGATTTGCTTTCTCCAGTGTCATGGGAACAGAAGCTCGCAGAGTGAATTCAAGTTATACCTCAGGGTAGCAGTTAGCACATGCTTAACTTTAAATGCATGCTTAAATTCCACTGAATTTCTTTTAAAAGTCACATGAATCCCAGAGATTTGGGG